CTTTAATAGCGCCGGAGGCATCTTGCGAAATTGCCTAATTTTTAGAAGCTAAATCGCGTGAATTCAAATTTGAATCCTTATAATTGACCTGGTTTTAAGATTTGATTAAAATCCATAGCACCCCGAACCTGCAATGTTCCTTTAAACCGCTATGGACATTTACAGCAGTTTCTCGGAGAGCGTCGATAGGATTCTAACGGAATATACCGGATGCTGTAGATTCCACGAAGCATGTACGCATAGCATCTGGACGTTCTGGGTATCATAGTGTAGTCTAGCGTAGCCTACCGTGCTCTAGACGTGTTGGGTATCAGAGCGTAGCCTAACGTTGCCTTGAGTAGCGTAGCGTTCTCTACCATAGTCTCGACGGTATGGTATCGTAGCGTAGCCTAGCGTAGCCTAGCGCAGCCTACCGTACTCTAGACGTCCTGTGTATCCCAGCGTAGTCTACTCCCTTCCACGCCCCTTTAAATGCCCTCTCGCGACGTCACTCATTAAAGCGAAATCAACATGGTCTCGTCTCGGCCCTTCTCGCTCTCTCCAAATCAACGGGTCCATCCATCTTTTTTCCAAGCGTTGCCTTGGCTGGAGAGAGAGAGAGAGAGAGAGAGAGAGAGAGAGAGCGAACCGATCGAAAACAGAGAGTTTTGCCGGGGTTGCCCTTTGCGGGCAGTTGTTTACAAACAAGTCCCCCTCCATGCCCCGTGCTCCGATCTCTGGCGCTTCGAATACAATTATCAGTCTCGACGACCCAACCCAGCGCACAGATAGCGGCCCCGGTTCTGCACTTTACCGAATTTCTAGCCCCATTGTTTAACCGTTCACAGGTGTGTTCCGTACTTTTTGCGAGGTGTCTATAGGACATTGGCGTACACGAGATGTTCCAGGGTATCGTCTGCCTGTTTTTTGGGGGTTAAAGGGCCCCGAAAAAAAGTTTTTGATGGATTTTTGGATTTTGCTAGTTTCTGAACTTTTTGTCTAACGTTTATAGGAATGTAACGTTCGCTAGATGGTTTATGCAGTCTTTCATTATATTTTTGTAGCTTAGCAGAACTAGAATGGCAAATTTTTGCAAGGTGTTCGGCATTGCTGGTACTGGTCTGTTAGCGGGGGGAGATGTCTATTTTGATTTTTCTGGCTGTATCTTTATAGCGTTTTCAGGGTTTTTCAGATCGTTAAAAAGCGATAAAACTTTGAAAATTTTCAAAAAAAACATTCTCGATGCCGTATTTCAAATTTCTGCTTTTTTTTGGGCATATACCGTAGTCAGAACTCCAGCATGTAGTTTCTTATTTTACGCATGTTTTTGCTTTCCTTCGTCCTTGATACTTGGGCAGTAATTGGCCGTTTTCACAGCCATCTTTATGCAAATTACCCCTGCCTACAAACTACAATATTTCCCCTATAATTTGCATCCGTTTTTTATGATTTTTGGGCTGAAATTTGCGGTTGGCGAACCGTTCCCGCGGCGCGAACGTGCCCATTTCAGGTGCACTATAGGCTGCGGGAACTGGTCCTCCCGGCGGTGGGATCAATTTTTGTGCGGGGGCAGCTACGAGGCCGGGAGCACGAAATTGAGTCACATCCGGCAGCCCTACAATCGCAAAAACGACATAAAGAACCAAAAAATGCAGCTCTTTTGGTAGGGCTCCCTAAATCACGCGCCATCCGATTCCCAGGGCTAATCTGGCCGCCTGGGATTTTGTGAGATTTGGCCCGGGGGATTGTTTGAATATTCTGTTTGCCCGATGCACTTTGGAAGGTAGTAGCGTTTTTTGGGGGCTCCCGAATGACTTTCCAAGTACGGTAAACAACCCCCCTGATCGCTGGACCGACCAAAAAGCGGTGTTTTCGTGGATTTTCCGGGGCGGATTTTTGTCATTTTTGAGATTGAAATATGTTTCGGAGCCGTTTTCGATATTTTTTTGTAAATCTTGTTTTGAATGTATATTATAATGGTTGTAATGCTCTAATAAAAGTACTTCTGAACATAACATTTTTTGACAACGTAATTGTTGCTTATCGGAATCCCCCTGCCTTCCCAACCCCTTTAAACCCCTCGAATTTTCGATTTTGTTTGCTATATCCGGCTCGCCGGCCCTTTGGAACGTTCCCGAAACGCTGAGCAACTAAATCTTTTTCCGGAGGTTTCCTGCTCTCTCTCTCTCTCTCTCTCTCTCTCTCTCCTCTCCCCAGATCTTTGCTCGCCGAAAAAAGCGTCCATTCCTGCGTGCGTGGATCAATCGATGGGCGGCCGAGCGGCGGGGCGGCCAGGGCCCAGGCGAGAGAGATGAGAGGGGAGGGAGAGCGAGAGCGAGAGACACAAAGAAACATAGGTGGGGCAGAGTATGGGGGCAGAAAAAGGGTCCGCATTTCGCCCTTTTGCACGTTTCGCTTCGTCCTTTTTTCTGTGCAGCCAGGAGCGCGGGGTGGGGAGAGAGTGGGTAGAAGAGAGAGAGAGAGCGAGAGAGAGAGAGGGGGGGGGGGGAGAAAGAGAGAGGAGGGAGAGCCTCAACCATCTTGTGATAGCCACTCTGATTGGGGGGATGGAAGGCAGCAGGGGAAGAGCCTATCGATTTCGATGTCTGTCTGTTTGACTGTCTGTCCGTTCGTTTGTCTGTATGCCTGTATGTCTCTCTCCCTCTCTCACTCTCTCTCTCTCTCTCTCTCTCTCTCTCTCTTCTCTCATCATCCATCATTGATAACCGTTTCGAACGGGCTTCCCCTCGCCCCGGTTGATGATAGCCGCCGCCCAAGATTTTAGTCCACCGGAAACGGCAATTTCTCGCCGAATTTACTATATCGTTAAATTGCTATTAAATCTTATTCTTGCTATATATTATTCATATTTTTCCAATTTTTCATAGCCTTATGATATCATTTTTATAGGTTGTTTTAACTTTTGCTAAGCAAAATTTAAGAGTATTTTTACGGGAAACGCTTTTTAAGACCGTTTTATCTCGTTTTAAAGACGCTAAGACACATCCTGCCTTCCCAGTCCCTTTAACATCCACGCCACTTTCCCCCATTGCCTCAACTCGGCTCTATCTGGGCGGCATCTCGAATTTCGCGCGCGCCTCGCCCAGCAGCTCAGGGTCTCTTCAGCCGTTTTTCGATTGAATGGGGGGTAGAGGTGTAGTGGAAGGGGTAGAAGGTCAGCCAGGGGGATACCGTACGGAGCAGGGAAAAGAAAGGCATTTTCTATTTTCTTTCGCTTTCTCTCTCTCTCTCTCATTCTTTCTCTCGTTCTCTCGCTGCCCAGTTCGGCAAAGGGTCAGAGGTCCGGCAAAATTTCCACACACAGCCAGCCACACTTTTTTGGGGTATCCGATATCCGCTTTGGCACTTTTTCGATACCTTAAATAAGGGCTTAGGGCTTGGGCTTAGGCTTCACCGCTTTTTCGCGGTCACCTAGAATTGTATACAGTATCCTCTCTTACGCTCCAAATACCCTGAAATTTCCGCAACTTTACGATGAACTTCCGACGCCGATCTCTTGAATTTCCTGGGCCTCGTTTCCGCCTCGACCTTTGCAGCTGCTCCCCTTTGCGCTGGCTGGGTTCAAATGCCTATAATTGGGCTTCTGCCCATTATTAGCGACCGACTTTTCCGGTCGGGGGCGAGACATTTACCACCTGCAACTCGACTCGGGGGAAATGATCGTTTGGTCGGGCCAAGTTCGGCATTAGAAAGTTTTGAAAGGTATTAAATGATCTCTGCTAGCTGGCCTGATAATTTTTAGGAAGCAAATGGCCTTTGCTGGCTTACCCCGGCTTATTTGTCAAGCGTCCTCAATGAACTCTGCTAGCTTGCCTTAAGAAGCCCGTTATATGATTCAAATTCTCTGTTCTAGCTTACCTTGAAAGCGTTTTGGATGACTCAAATGGTCTCGGCTAGCCTGCCCTAGCTGATTTTTCCAAACGTCGTGAATGATCTCAGCTAGCTTGCCTTGAAAAGCACTACTGAATCCTCAAAGATCTCGGCTAGTCTGCCCTTTCCCTTCCGTTTTAAATTGAGCAGTTTTCCACCACTTTTTCCTCCAAGATTTCTGCTAGCTTGCCCAGAACTATTCTTACTGAATGCAAATGCTCTCGGCTATATCGCCAGACAAGATTTTCACGTCTGATCTAATTGTAAATCCCAAAAAATCACTGCCAGCTTGCCCTGCCAATTTTTTTATGACCGGCCCGGGCGCATTGAGATCGATTTTCAGCGTTTCCCCGGCCCGCCGTCCGAGCCGATCACAAGGGGTTCTCTCTGTCTTTGTGCCTCTTCTGTTTGTCTGTCTCTCTGTCTGTTCTGTTCGTTCGTCTGTCTGTCTGCCCTCCTTCATCGTATGGTCGTTTTTCTGTCGCGGCTTCCATCCCATCCATCCTTTTTGCCCCTCGATCTCCCCCTCTCCCCCCTTCGGGTTTGATGGTTTTTCTGCTTTCTGGGTCTCCGGGGGTCGGCCAGCGGGGGGAAAAATGGACGTTTCTCCTCTTTCCTTTCTTCTCCTCTTTTTCTGGTTCTTCTTCCATTTTTTGGGCCCCCACCCTGGGCCCCCTGGATTGACTTTTTGGCCCGGTGGCCAAGGCGGAACCCCGGGGTTATATGGGTTGTCAACTGTTTTAAAACGTTTTGAACTGCTTGAGGACGTCTTGTACACCCACAGGCATCGACCGCATACCTTAATCATACTTACTACCTTCTAAATTTTTTAAACTTTGAAATGATCTTTTTACCCTCTTCGCTTTAAACATGAATATTTTCTGATTTTCCAATGTCCTCCAGTTCCATCAGACACACGTTGACACCGTACTGTACTACAGGTAGCACCCCGGCCGTGTCTACCCCTGCTCACGAACAATCCTGAAGGTAGCCACCACCTCGTGCTCCCCATCTCATTGGATGGAGGGCTGTGTCTCATGGGAATGGTGGATGGCCCGATGGTCTCTGGCCTGCCACCACCCGTCTCTACAGCTACAGTACCCTCACCGGGTGCATTATATGATGAGACAATGGAACCGGGGGCTAGTGGAGAGCAACTGGATATCGATGATCTGAGTCCGATGGCTCGAGATCGGTGTAATACGTGGCCGATGAGGAGGCCTGGGGCTCCACAGCATGAACAGTCACCGCATCATATTCATGAAGCTATTGAGGAGGAGGGAAGGTGAGAGAAAAAGATGCTAATTAGGGTATCGTGAATTTACAAGAAATTGATGGAAAGTACAGGTTTAAAAATCGTAAAAATTGTGAATTTCGGGTTTTGCAATCAGACTTTACGCAAATTCCGTATTGCCAGAAATTCAGATTTTTAATCGGCAGATCCGTATTTTAACGTATGCAAATTAGCTCTGAAAATTTTTTGAGGAACATAAAAAAGACTAACTCGTTTTTCGCCCTTTAATAAAGTCCGTTATTGCTCAGTTTCTCTATAACAGTTTAAATTAGGTGAATTGACTGCTCAGGATTATGCAAATCGTGCAAATTTGCAATGCTCCCATTTTTCTTCTTCACTTTTAGTTGGCTACGGTAGAAAACTCGTGAAAATCTGCAAAATTACCCTTGGATACCCCAAAAATCTATGAAAAGCTATAAAAAACGCTAAAAACCTTTCTAAAAATCCCAAAAAAACATCCCAATCCCCATACATCCCCATACACAATCCCCCATCAAAAAAATCAAATTTTCACTTTTGATGACCTTGACTCGAAAGTACAATCGCGAAACCTTTACGAAACCCTCAAAAATTCCACTTCCGCCTCTACCCGGTCGATGAGCAAGAGGCAGCAGGCTTCAACCGAAAAATCAGGGCCCCCGACTAATCCCTTCCATGCCATTCCCATCGGATTATTAGGGTCCGGGTGCCGAAAAACCGAGAAAAATGGCGGCATTTCACTAATTGCCTGGGCCCCCGGTCGCCGTGATTGACGTCCCAAAAATTGGGTATTAAACCAAAAATCACTGAATTAAAAGCCCGGGGAAAATATAATTAAATTACAAAGGATTTAATGTAAATTATGGGAAATTTGAGTAATTACGGCTGGTAATTTAATTTTGGTGAGAAAATGACCGTTGCTCGGGCCGCTAAAACATGACTTTCGGGAACTTTAGTGGAGCCTGTTTCTTTCTAGTATATATTTTGCATAAACCAATTATTTTTCAGCATCTTCGACAGCTCGGAGAACGTGAACAACTCGCAGACGGTGCTGAACAGCCCGGATGGAAATCAGTTCTCGCCAAGGTCAGTGAAAAATGTGGAATTTTGGGAAAGATTTACGTTAATCGCGCTCAAAAAATGTATTATCGGTTTTAAACGGATCTTTTGCATTAGCGGAGGGTTATCATTAACGATTAAAAAATACTAAAACACCGTTTTTGACCAAAATTACAAATTCTTACAAAATTTTGAAAGTTCGACGAGACTACGGTATAAATACAAAGCGTAATTTCCAGCATGTCCTCTCCAAACGGCGGCTTCGGAGGCGGAGGCGGAATGGCACCATCTTCAGGGGCATCAGATACCTCGGACCCCGGGCAGGCGCCCAATAAGAAGAGCGCCACGCGGTATGCCAATTTCGGTGCTTAAAGATCCGGGGATTGTGCCTTCCTGGGCCCTTTAAAGCTGAATTTTATAGACGAAACGCTTGGGGCTCAATGAGCTACGCCGATCTGATCACGCAGGCAATTATGGGAAGCCCGGATAAGAGGCTGACATTGGCACAAGGTGAGAGAGAACGAGAGAGAGAGAGAGAGAGGCAGAGAGAGAAAGGGATGGAAGTCGAGAGAGAGTGAAGGAGAGAGAGAGCGCGTAAGAGAGCGAGGGAGCGAGAGAGCTGGAGAGAGAGCGAGAGAGAGCCAGAGAGCTAGAGCGAGCTAGAGAGAGAGGGAGAGAGGGATGGAGAGAGACAGAGAGAGAGAGAGAGAGAGAGAGAGCAAGAGAGAGAGAGAGAGAGCTGGAGAGAGTTCGCCGTCAACATTACCCCTTTACAGTCTACGAGTGGATGGTGCAGAACGTGCCGTACTTCCGCGACAAGGGCGACTCGAACAGCTCGGCCGGCTGGAAGGTTGGTGCAATTTCAATATTTTTAATGCCATCATTTTTACGCAACTTTGTTTTTTTTTGATGCCATGCCCTGCCATACCGTACCGAGTTAAAAAATGAAGTCAAAAATTTGCGTATCCAAAAGTTTTAAACAACAATTTCTTGGTTTTTTGGGTTTTTCTTTTGTTATTTTGATCCTTCGTGTTTTTATTTGTCAAATTTGAACCTCAAAGCCTCCATTAACGCTCCAAAATATTCCATTTTTTTGCCGTTCCCTATATCGTATAATCCGGGGGGTTGCGAGAGAGCGTTCCGATTCCGTCCGTCCGCACCCAAATGTTTGCACGCGTTCTGGAGGAAGAGAGAGAAAGCGAGAGAGAGAGAGAGAGGGAGAGAGGGAGAGACACCTAGGGAAAGGCAGAAAAAGCCCTGCACCCGGGCCACAACAACTCCTAGCCGGCCAATCGGGGGCCCCATCCTCCCAATGACTGTACTTGTTTTTTCGTGCCACGGTGCTCCGCATATTCCGCAACGCTCCGAGACCCCGTCCTTTGTTTTCGCGCGTACTGCCGCGTACTCGGGGCCAGGAGGAGCACCCCAATTTTCATGGAAGACATTTGGGTGCAAACCGTACAGATGGCCCGGGTTGTCGGGGGCGGCTTCGGTAAATATATCCAGGAGGTGGGGCCAATTGCGATAAACAACCCTCATTTTGTACCCAAAATCCGGCGGGGTTACGGTAATTTGGGGAGGCTAATTTGGGAATGGGACCTTGGGATCGAGTGTCATTCCGAGGGTCTGAGGGTCTGAGCTCCAGCTCCTTTTTTCTGATTCCTGTTTCCTACCTTTCCTAAGCTTAAGCCCAAGTCTAAGCCGAAGCCTAAGTCCAAGCTAAGCCTAAGCCTAAGCCCAAGCCTAAGCCTAAGTCCAAGCTAGCCCTAACTTAGGCCGCGGCCTAAGGAAGCTTAAGTATAGACCTATACCTAAGCCCAAGCTCCTTTATTTTGTTGGCCTTTCCACATGGCCACGCAGACTCCCTTGTCCCAATTAATACAGTGGTCAATGCGAGGGCCCAAAAAAGGGCCCAAAGGTGGAGATGATGGAAAAATAAATTGTTTTCGCCTGCCTCCTCCACCGCGACGTCTCGCATCCCGCAGGTCGTCTTTGCCACGGCGGCAGTTGTATAATTTGGAGTAGGGGAGCGAGAGAGAGAGGGAGAGAGAGAGAGAGCGAGAAACCCCGAGAAGCAGAGCGTTATCGTAGTAGTAGAAGCGCATGGGTGGGGGGCTTGTTTACGGGCAGTGCCTGCCTGTGGGCGCTGGGCCCTCTTTCTGTTGGCCCCAGTGGCCAAATGTATTCATTTTTGGACTGGGCCCGTTGTGTGCGTGTGCAGAGGAGCCTAGCGGAAAAAACCTGTGAAATTCGGGGCTTTAGGCTATTGCTTGAGCGTCAGGTCGAAAATCGTCCATAAAAAAAATTTCCGGTTTTTGCATTGTTCAAATTTCCGAATGGTTACGGGTGTACGCTACAATACTTACGTACTACGGTACGCCAATGCTTGCCTAAAAACGATGATCTGCGCATTAAACTACAGAAGATGAACACTACCCCGAGGGTCCCCCAAAACCGGAGAGATCTCATATGGTCCCCTACAGGCAATGGCCTGGGTTGGGGCTCCGACCCCTTCCCCACTTGGCCCTGTGGTGTAGTGGCTAGCGCGTCGGACTTGGAGCGAACCATCGCGGGTCGACCCGCCCGGTGGACGCCCACGGTCATCTCTGACGGTCTTAGAACAAAAATATTTTTTGCAACTGGTTTTTTTAAGATTTTCGCAATATTTTCGAAGCGCCTTAATCGTAGCTATCTAGCTTACAGTATACCTCCAGGAAAAACCATGCCATTTCTTTGTTGGCACGCCTAAAAATACCAAGGGTCCCGTACGGATTTTCGACGGGGTCCCCCCTTTTTGCCATGGGATCGAGTAGGGCCGAGGCCGCGACGGGCGAATTTCTCTTCTTTGTGTTCTGCTCCGTTTTTTGGGCTCTTTTTTCCTCCTAGATCCTCCATTTCTCTTCTATAAATCTCTAGTTTTTTCCGTTCTCTAACTATTCACGCTCTCTCTCTCTCTCTCTCTCTCTCTCTCTCTCTCTCCATTTGCCAGGCATGAGGGTGGCAGGGGTTGTTTTGGCGGTGCGCCACCCGCGGCCAGCTGAACGCAAAAATCTTTTTTACGCCTGGCATTCCCCCTCTTTTTTGGCGGGGCGTTGATAGTACTGGTGGAGGGACTCGGTGAGCCGGGGCATCCACCTAAAAACAACCCCGAAACAGCCAAATAGAAGAGCGGAAGAGAGAGAGAGAGAGAGGCAGCTTTCTAAAATCGACCTACCCTTGCCATTTTTTCAACGGCGGCCCGGGCGGACAACATAGCCGCCCTCCAGGCAGCACTCTGTATTTTTCAATCGTGCCACTTGTCCCAGAGTCTAGTCGGGTCTACTAGATCGAAATGATTGTCAGGGTAGTTTTTAAGAAAATCTAGAGAAAAAGGCTGCCTAATTCCTGCCTTAAACTCTCCTTAGATAATTTTAAAGGGGTGCTGACTAGCAAATTTGGGACTACGCGACGCTCCTCAAGACTAAGAACTCTATATCTCGATCCTTAGGTGTCACTGTCCCTTTAAAAGCTCTAATACGTAGGTTTTTAAACAGATTTTAATAGATTATGATTAGCCTTGTCTGCCTAAGCCTCAGCCAAAGCCAAGCCTAAGTCCGGCTACCGTACTATATAAAATCCTCCCGAGTCCCATCACGATATTCTACCGTACCCCTCCACTTCCTATGTGGAACGGCATAATTGAACGAATTCTGAGGGCTGGGTAAAAACTCTTTCTTCTCAGGTTCTTTTTCTCAATTTCTCTTCTCGCTACGTCCTCCTCCACCCAGCCTGGGCGGGGCCCGGCATGGAACGGAACGAACGAACGAACGCACCACGCGGCTTTGTCCTCCCCCGGCCAAGACCTGTTTTTTCACCAATTTCTCCCCTTGGCTGCACCCCGGCGTGCGAGAGCCTCAAAAAATGATCTACTCTCGCTCGAGTTTAATGGAGAAAAACTTGTAATTGTTTGTAAAAGCGTATAAGAAATTCTCGAACCAAGACGAAGCCTAAGCTAAGCCTAAACTTAAGCCAAGCCTAAACTTACGCCAAGCCTAAACTTAAGCCAAGCCTATGCCTAACCGAAGCCTACGCCCCTGCCTAAGCCTAACCTTGTTTTTTACTTACAAACTTGTTTTCCATATTTCATAATCCTCAGGCTTATCATTTTCCTGGAAATTACCTGACGAAACTGTTGTTTCGAAACGTTTCCCCCGGCACGTGTTTCCCTACTCCACCCCTCCAGGGATTAATTGACCCAGAAAATCCGCTTGTTTTCTTTCCCGTTGCTGTTGCAATAAAGCCCCCGGGAAGCCTAGAAACATCTAGGTGATTTTTGAGGTCTTGTTCAGGTAGTTAAAAAGCATATAAAATTCGATATCTAGCCGTTTTTAATAAGAATTTTGTAAATCGAGGCCAGAATCCTCAATTTTGCAGCAAAATCCAGAAACCAAACATCACCCAAACCGTCTCGGCAGCATAGCAAAATACCTAGTATAAAATAATAGATCAGTGCCACGCTAAACTACAAATTAAGCATAGGATACAATCCTCTAGACAATTTTCTCAATGCCCCCCGGAGACGTAGATTGTTTTTCACCCCCTCCTTCCAGATTTCCGGGAATCCCAGGTGTGCCATTTTCTAAAACCTGCCCTCTCCGCCCCTCCTCGATAATTTTCTCCACCCCCAGGATTCCAAGTCTAAAAAATTTGGATTCTCAATCCAAAACCCCCCATTTTCAGAACTTTCGGAGTTGTTTTTGCCGATTCAGATGGTCGACTAGAAAAAGTGGGCACTCCAGGGGGTCACTGGCCAGAAATCCGCCGGATTTTGGGATTCCAAATGACGCATTTTTGCCCGGAAAATCACTCATAAACACCCCCACCCAATACATTAATGCCTTTCTAGGATGACCTGGGATTTTGGAACGAAACACTAGAGTGTTTCACCTAATCCGTTGATCCCGGCTCTTTTATGTATGCAATTTTTGCCTTCAATGGACCTTTAAAAGGTGACTTTTGCGTAAACGAATACAGTACAATTGTACAGCTTCAGCGTTGCCTGGTGGTTTTGCCTTCAATATTCCTTTAAGGATTCTGGAAGCAAATCACCTATAGATTTGGCTTCACTGGTTCTTTAAATACCATTTTTCTATTTTTTTAAAGTTTCTATAGTTTTTTAGTGGCGACTTCCCGGTTCCTTTAATCGACTATTTTACCCTTAACGTAAATGTTTGCCTTAAAACCTTTAAAACGAGACTTCTTGGTCCCTTTAACGCCTCTATCCCGCATAGTATCCCTCTCTCTCTCTCTCTCTCTCACTCTCTCTCTCCCACCGAGGCCCTGGGGGTGAGGGTTGACCTAGGGGTGGTGGCTGGGTGAGGGGAGGTGTCCCAGCATGGCACTGCGAACGCCGAACGCCTCTTGACCGCCCGTTTCTCTCTGGGCCCTCTCATTTTTTGAGCTCTTTCCCCCATTCTCTGGCCGTCTCTAGTATCCCCTCGGACTACGGACTCTACCCCGGCCGCCCTGGGGGACGGGGGTTCTTTGTGCTCCACTGTTTTTTGCCTCTTTTTCCGGCCGTTCCCTCCTGGGGGAGGGGGTCCTCGATTTTTTCGCGAGCGAACTGGTAGCTATGCGGAAAGGGAAAACTTTTGGATGGGGAACGGGCGGATTGGAGTGGAATTTTTTGGGAGGAAAAGCTGGACAACTGCATCTTTCGTATTATGAACTCGTTAAATTCCGGTTCAATGCTGCTTTCAGTACGTAAAGATACGCTACAGTATCGTTTCCTTATCTAAAATCTAACTTCACCGAATTATCTGAGGGCGCTTTAATCTGCGTTCAAAGCCTAAGATAAGCCTATGCATGAGTACATTACAGTACTCTTTTACGCTATATTTTTTGTCGATACTCGAGCTCCTCAAGTTATCTACAGCACCTTTAAACTTTCCCTTCCAGATTTTCTTACCGTACCCCCGTATCAATAAGGCTTTATAGATATCAATATTACCTGTAAGAGCCACGTCACGTCGGCTTCTCCTTTCACAATTCCCTTATCTCCATGACTTTCCACCCTCAAAAACAACACTTTGCACCACCAGGAACTTAACTTGTACGCCCGGCTCCAAAACACGCCCTGATTTTCGAAAGGATTGAAGCGGAATTGGGCGTGGAAATGGCTGATTGCTAGTGCGCGCCTGGGAATTTAACTACCCGGGCTCGACCCCCGCGCGGAGCGGAACTTTTTGCTTTTTGAGATAAGGTCCAGTCACTGATAATTTTTTCAAAGGATGGTGACGCGACATTTTTTGATAGATGCTACATACTTTCGATAGCCGATAGATTTGCCTTCAATAGTCCTTTAAACTCCCTTTTTGGGCGATTTTCACGCTATATAAGTTGTGTAGGGCATTAGGCTATGTTTATCGGGCCGAATTTACGCTACGCGAATTTTTTATGTTTCAGGTCCCAAATATTTTCCTTCCCCATCTCGGTATATCTAACCCCAGCCAGCTGGCCGGTATAGGCTGTCTAGTCACCCATATACCCCCTGAGGGGAAGGGGATCGATCGAGATGGGATGGGGGTGGTCGAGAGAGGAGCAGAAAAAAGGGCCGGACGCGACCTCCGCCCCTGGGGGTGACGGCGAGCAGCGAGGAACGGCCGTTCTCTTTCTCTCTCGCTGACCATCCCATCCAGCCACACGTCCTCCCCCCTTCCTCGACCCTCACAAAAGCGCGCGCCCCGGCTGCACCCAATTCACCCCCTTTTTTGTGACCCCCTCAGGGATGGGGAATTTCCCGCATGGTTAAAGGCGTTGAAAAGTTTTTTAGTCTTGTATCTATCGTCTTTTAATTCATCCGAGCCTAACCTAAGCCTATAAGCGAAGTCGAAGCCTAAACGAAGCCTAATCGAAGCCTAAGCGAAGACTACGCGAAGCCTAAGCGAAGCCTAACTAAGCGAAACTTCGAAGTTCCAGTTCTCTCACCCAACCCTTTTTCTGCCGTTCCCCCGACCAGCTTTTTCTGGCTGCCCACCCCGGCGACTGCCTCAGCTGTTTACGGCACGCGGCACCCCCTCTTCCCCTTTGCTATCCTCTCTTCCATGTCCCGGAAAAAGCCAAAGAAGCAGAAGAGGCGGCCTTTTTCGTGCCGGGACGACGCGTGGATAAAACGTTCCTCTCTCGGCTTTCCGGCTTTTTCTAAGGGCGATCTGATGTTGTAGTCAGCTGGGGGTTAGTATCGATTTGGATAGCTATATCGGACTCCGTGTTTATAGCCTTAATGGTAGCTTACGATACCGTGAAGTTTAATGCGGAGCCAGTGCATTAATCCCTTTAAATTTTCTATAGAAATAACGCAGCATTAATCAGCTATATTTCAGACGTTCAACCCTAAGCCAAAACCTAGATACTTTTCTAAAAATGACGTTTTAATTAATTAATTATTTAATTATAAAATTAAATAATTAAAATTAAATTAAATTAATAAATTAATAATTAATATAAAAAAATTAATTAATTAATTTAAAATTAATAATTAAATTAAAATTAAATATAATTATTTAATTTTAATTTAATAATTCGCTACTTATCGGATTTTCCGAGATAATAATAGCCCATTTTTCGATACTTATCCTTTAAAGTGACGCTTGATTGCCCCCCCCCAATTCTCATCATAAAAGTACAGCGTCGATATTAAGTACGTGTCGATCCATCCTTACACGCCCAAGGGCTCGCGCTCGAGGAAGTGATCCACTTTCTGCCCTTCTTTATAGGAGCTCTCTCTCTCTCTCGCCTTCGCTCTCGCGCTCTATCATGCTCTCTCTCTCACCCCGATTAGCATTAAAAACTTTTCATTCAGTGTATCCAGCGCTTTAAGCTAGAAATAGACTCGAGAAACGGAGATCTTCCATGAAATGATGAATTTCCCCCTTTTTTACTGCTTATTTGTTTTGTTTTCAGCTTTTTAAGCCTCTAGGGAGGGAATTTACATAAAAAAACTATGTTTACGATGTAGCCAAGCAGAAGATGATTTCATTTTTGTAAAAAAAATTGCAGTAAAAATAGGTTTCCTATCTAGTCACGCAATTTAATAGTAGGAAGAATGCTCTTCTTACCGTATTCCCAGTTTCGAGCAACCAATTACGCTATTTAATGGCCTCCAAGAACTTAATTTTATGTAACTTGCCGTAATTACGATACTTACTCCAAAACGTTATCTTCAAGGAGTTCAGAATTTTTTTCATTCAATTACGTCTTGATTTTTTTCGTTAATTTTTGGGTTTGATACATTTGATTACGCCATGAAACCTGTACGCCTTCGATTTGTATGCTTTCTACCATTCCAATGTTCTCCCCCTCAAAAACTCATCCCATCTCTGCAGAAGACTGAACTCGACGGAGTGGCCGGCGTGCGTCTCGGTGGCGGGGGCCCCGATTGGTGTTCTCCCCGGGTGCACTGGACCCCAACGCGGAGGACTATCATCTACCACCGCCCCAACGTCTTCAGCAAGGAGCATGATGTCTGGGTGCAGCAGTGGCGGTGTCAATGGTAGCGTCGTAGTCGGGGGAGAGGGGGCGTGTGGCGGTGGGGGTGTGCCCTCGTCGGCCATGCCCCCGCCCCCTCCTCCTCCCCTCCACTGCCAACTGCTCGAACTACCTGACGAGCTGGGAGATGTGCCGAGGGCCCGGTGCTATACCTGGCCAATGCATCAGTTCATCTACGACCCGCAACCTCAGCACGAGCCGACAGTGGCGCAGCTATTACATGCCACGCCTTCCTCAAGCGGTACAGTACTTCTACTACCCCACGAGTTTTTTTGGGTCTGGGTTACGGTAGTGGGGACACTTTTTAGCGCCGCTTTTTGCTTTTTCCGCTGGTTTACGGTAGTTTAAGTGATTTTTAGCAGACAAAACTTGAAAATTATTTTTACTGCAATTGGGCTTTTGCGGTTAATTTACGGTAGTTTAAGCGGCTTTTAAAACCCAGTTTTTTCCATTTTTTTATGCTGATTTTCATCGTAATTCTCTCCAGGCATGGGCGGACAATTGATGCCCCTCCATCTCACATCCCATCAACCGCAACAATCCCAACAACAATCCGCCCCCACCGGGGCTCAACCCAAAAAAGAAACGATGCCGGAAGAAGCCGACCGATCAGTTGGCACAGAAGAAGCCGAACCCGTGGGGCGAGGAGTCGTACTCAGATCTCATTGCCAAGTCGCTCGAGTCGGCCCCAGAAGGCAGGCTGAAGCTCAACGAGATTTATCAATGGTTCTCGGACAATATCCCGTATTTCCGGGAAAGGAGCAGTCAGGAAGAAGCGGCCGGGTGGAAGGTAGTGTACTTCTTGGAGTTGTTGGGGGCTTCAGAATTCTAAAAATGAGTTAGAAAAAATTTCAGTGTATTTAAGATACGCTAAAACTGACTTTACGCCAGGATGTTGTTTTAATGGCTTTTAAAGAGCCAGATAAGTTATAAAAGCTCGTGTTTGTGCGACTTTTTGGCTTTTAAATAACGATTAAAGGCTGCAAATTCTTGTTACTTTGTGTAGATTTGGAGTTTAAGACCCCTCGAAGCCAGAATTTCTTAAATACCTAAAAATTCGGTGACAATACCACCTAGTTCACTGATCGTTCTTTGGAGTGTTCCGTACCTCACGATTAGCTTCTATCGCTTTCTCTCTCTCTCTCTCTCTCTCTCTCTCTCTCTCTTTTTCGCTCTCTCTCCGCATTCAAAACACCCCCCTCAAAGTGCACAAGATCACAGATCGCAGCTCAAAGTTCCACCGATTTCGGGGGTTTCAAATTTCTTAATTTAAGTTAACGTTCAATCGATACCATAGCATTTTCATGGAATCGATATAGTCGCCATTCTTTCTTGTGGGGCCCACTTTTAATCTGGCAGCCCAGGAGGCCGAGATGATGTCCTTGTTGTTTTGGCCGTGCGGCTCACCCGGGGCTGAGCGCCACTTTCTGCCCTGCTCGGCCATGATGGCAGGGTGGATCGATTTGCAGAAGACGAAAATAGAAAAAGTTTGGGGTCAAGCCGGTGGATTTGGGGTCTAAAAAGGGCACGCAATAGTGTAAAGGTCTAGACAAGTACTGTAGCACTTGAAAAAATGAAAGAAACTTTAAGAAGGTCATTTAGATACTGTTTCCAAATTTTCTAGTATTTTAAAGGTATAGTGAAGGCAGGAATTCACTATAGAATGGCGACTTTTTGCTTCTTAGATTATTGAAAAGTCAAAATTGACAAGCATTTTTGCCTTAAAAATTCCGGAAACTTGGCGCAGTGCCAATGGTTTAAAAACCAAAAAATTGAACACCTTTAAAATCACAAAATACATTTCCAAATTTTTCTTCACCGATTTCATAACGTTTTTCGATGAGATTAGACGTTGAAATCTTGTAAATATTGATCTAACGAAATGTGCGATACTTTTAGCGTATTTTGATGAGTCATCCCGGTGATTTCAATGTTTTCCGGATCGATATCGGGTCCCGCAGCGATTTCCTAGAGCCTTTTCCGCCCAGAAATCAGGTGACGGTCGGCTCGACCACGGGCGAGGTGGTTGCACTTTATAGCATACCACTTGCGAAACGGTAGTCAGGAGAGAGCTGAGAATTCCGGGGGGGGCTTTTTTGGGCGGAAAAAATTGTAGTTGCCCGTTTTCGGTTTTCGGGACTTGGTATAATTTAGAAAAAGGGGGGAATTATGGCAAAAAGGAGAAGCCGCCCCTGAAATCGGATGGAATTTTTGATACGAAAGCGGACTAGAAAATTTCTCTCTCTCTCTACTTCTCTCGCTCTCTCTCTCTCTCTCTCTCGCTCTCCGTCTCTCTCTCCCAAAGTAGACCAATTACACTTGATTCGCAAGAGTACAGAACACACTAAAAACGCTCGCAAATAACAAGGTAATATTGATCGAAAATGTATGCTAAAACTTGATTTAAAATATGGTACGGTATGGCATGATACAAAATTAAATTTAAACCTGATAAACAATAATAATAAATTATCATACATTACAGAAAAATCAATATTTAACCTGATTTTTAGAATTCTATCCGTCACAACCTCTCCCTTCACTCTCGCTTTATGCGCATCCAAAATGAGGGCGCGGGCAAGTCGTCATGGTAGGTTGCATTTTCCTGAATTTGTACATCAAGAATTTAAATCTAGATCTGTTTTAAAGGGTTATACAAAGTCTAATTCCACTTTTCTAGGTGGGTGATCAACCCCGACGCAAAGCCCGGCCGCAACCCGCGACGCACCCGCGATCGCGCTGCGACTGCTGACTCGAAGACAATTGTGCGTTGTTTTTTTAAAGAGAGAGAGAGAGAGAGAGAGAGAGAGAGAGAGCGAAAGAGAGAGAGATAGCAATATTTTATCAAACCACTATTTTTCAGGGCACCCTGAAAGAGACGAGACGCAAGGCCCGCAACCGCGTCAAGGACCTCCGCGCCATGATGGGCGGCTCGGTGTCCAGCTCGCAGGTGTCGATCAGCTCGCAGGGCGGCGTCGACCTGTTCAACGACGACCCCAACTTTGCGCCGATGTACAGGTGTGTAGAACTATCGACTATTTATAAATGAAGCTGGAAATCTCGATCCAGATAGCTTTAATGGCTTTAAAACTGTCTACAAATTTATTAAAGCTTTTCTAGAGATCGTGCCAACACCAATCCTACCTCTCGAGTGTCGCCCAACATGGAGGGCTTCAACGACTTCGACTTCCCGGCGTGGATCGAGAGCACGGGCCCGCAAGGAGTTCAGATCCCGTCGGATATCGTGGATCGTACACAGGAGGTAAACCTAAGCCTAAGCCAAGCCTAAGCCAAGCCTAAGCCAAGCCTAAGCCAAGCCTAAGCCAAGCCCAAGCCAAGCCTAAGCCAAGCCTAAGCCAAGCCTAAGCCAAGCCGCTAAGCCTAGCCGCTTCCAGCCAGCCTAAGCCAAGCCTAAGCTGGCCTAAGCCAAGCCTCCAAGCCAAGCCTGGCCTCAAGCCTGGGCCTGCCCAGTGGGCCTGCCAAGCCAAGCCCTAAAGCCTGCCTAATGCCGCCCAAGCCAAGCCTAATGGCCCTGCCAAGCCTCCAAGCCCTAAGCCAAGCCTAGCCAAGCCTAAGCCAAGCCTATAGCGCCCAAGCCAAGCCTAAGCCAAGCCCAAGCCAAGCTATGCCCTAAGCCGCTTTGCTTAGCTAGGCCCTGCGCTTCCGTGCCTAAGCCAAGCCTAAAGCCCTAAGCCAAGCCCTGCCTGGCCTGGCCAAGCCCTAAGCCAAGCCCTAAGCCTAAGCCCGGCTGCCAAGCCTAAGCCAAGCCTAAGCCAAGCCTAAGCCAAGCCTAAGCCAAGCCTAAGCCAAGCCTAAGCCAAGCCTAAGCCAAGCCTAAGCCAAGCCTAAGCCAAGCCTAAGGCCAAGCCTAAGGCCAAGCCTAAGCCAAGCCTAGGCCAAGCCTTAGCCGCTTAAGCCTTAAGCCAAGCCTAAAGCCAAGCCTAAGCCAAGCCTAAGCCAAGCCTAAGCCAAGCCTAAGCCAAGCCTAAGCCAAGCCTAAGCGAAGCCTAAGCCAAGCCTAAGCCAAGCCTAAGCCAAGCCTAAGCCAAGCCTAAGCCAAGCGTAAGCCAAGCCTAAGCCAAGCCTAAGCCAAGCCTAAGCCAAGCCTAAGCCCAACGACTACGAATTACACTTTCGCCTTTCAGATCCGATTGGAGTGCGTGAACCCATCCTCCCCCGCCTACCGTCGCCAAATGGGCGGCCAGAACAGCAACGGCGAGATGAAGGACATGAAGCCGAAGCTGGAGGAGCTGCCGATGATGCAGACGCAACAGGGCGGAGGCCCACCCTCGTACCACGAGCTGAACGCCGTCCGGTCGCAGAACCAGCAGATGCAGAACCCGCTGTTGAGGAACGCACCGTTGGGACAGTTGCCCAAGCAGGGGTATGTTTTATGGGGTTTAAAGGAGCAATGAAGGCAGGAAATCTCAGAAATTCTCGTGTACTTCCAGCCAAATATTTCCTAGCGTAAGCACAAGTAATTTTTGGATTTTCCAGGAATCAATTCTACCAGCCGTACACATGGAATTTGTCGCCCGGTCAGGTGGTGCCGAATGCGCACTCTTGTGCCTCACAACAGGTTGGTAGAGAAAAAAAGAAAGAGAAAAAGAAAGAGAGAGAGAGAGAGAGAGAGAGAGAGAGAGAGAGACAGAGACAGAGCCAGAGAGAGAGTGTAAAAAAACCTAAAAAACGTCGAAATTTGCCTATTCTAACCCCTCATTTTCAGGTGGCCTCGATGGGCTCACTTCCGGTGGACCTCGAAAACCTTACACTCCCCGAGCAGCCGCTGATGGAGATGGACCTGGAGGCCGTCCTCCGACACGAGCTCTCCCAGACCACCAACAATCAGCTCAATTTTGACCTCTAAATTCCTCTCATCTCGCGTACTGTGGTCGGCCCCAAAAATCTCTCTCTCCCTCTCTTTCCCCGCCATTTGTCGAGCGTTAGTTGCGGCGGCGTCTTGGAGCAGTTCAGCAGTTCCGAGCCGCGCTTCTTTCGCTCTTCCTGAAAGAAAAAATACTTCACCTCCTCTCTCCGCCCCTCCGTGTAGCCACAAATTCCGAATGCGTGTACCCCACCCCCGCCCGTATTAGCCGGCCCGGCCAGGACAGCAAAAGTAGACGACACTGGTTATTTTTGAGTGTATTTTGTAGCCCGGGCGCTTTTTAGGGGTATGGTTTGGAGCCTAGAACCCCCCCTCAAACTACAAAAGCCTAAAAAGTGCTCCTGCCCAAGTCACGAATTCCCCCTCTCGGACCTCAATCGCCTTTGTCTCGCACAAAATCGGCATCCGCTTTTTATGTATAAAAAAACCAGGGACGCATTTTAGGCCGGGGTTTTGGTAAGATTGTGGCTAGCTAAGCCTAAGTCCAAGCCTAAGCCTAAGCTAGGTCTAAGCCTAAGCCTAAGCCCAAGCCTAAGCCTGAGCCCAAGCCCAAGTCCAAGCCTAAACCCAATCCTATAGGGCCAGCATTTCCACTAGACCCCTCCCTAAGGCCCGGCCCGGCAGCTGTACGTATGCGCCTGTGAACGTCTCCCACGATACTGTATCTGTGTGTATTTCTCTAATTCTCTAATTCTCTCCCTCCCTCCCCCACACACTCTTGTATGTGCATCGTTTCTAGTCAAAATTCCCCCTCCAACTCTAGAAGCCTACTACTGTATCTGGCTCCCCCCAAAAAAAATAGTCCCCAGCGAGTAGATGGTTAATTTGATGTTCGTTGTTTGGTTTTTGTCTTTTGTTTTATTACTGTGGGTATGTGTTGCCCAAATTTGTCTCTGGGCGTGGCGGCGAGGCGCTAGTGGGCCAGCCGGGTGGCGAGTAGGTAGCCACCTGGAAAGATGGAGTTTCAGTCATATTTTGCCGTTTTTGTTGATAGATACCTAGCTAGTTGGCTAGAGCAAAAAATTCTACAAAGAACTGTGCTTTTAGAAATTCAAAAATACGCTGAAAAATTGCACAAAAAGTAGTTTAATTTTTCCAAAAAAAAATTTTGGATAAAATTGAATTTTCTGGGTTGGCTTTATAGCTATAAAACTTCTAAGACCATTTTCCGGTGCAGAATTTTTTGCTCTACAAAACTAGCTAAGTTTTGACTAGCAAAATTTGGAAAACCTGACCAATTTCTCGAAAAACTCCGCCACCCAGCCGTCGTCCAGAGGAAATTAGGTACCAGCAAAAAAACGCGAATTACCGTATCCACAAAACGCCCCAATTTTTGCGTGTCCAAAATCAATGTATGCACCCGATTCATTCTCCTTTTATGCGCGCGTGTTCCAGTGTTCTCTTTTTTTTGTATTTTCGCGCGTGATTTGTGGTTATCGCGCCGACCCGCCCCTCATTTTATCGATGATTTTTTTTGTTTCCGCTTTTTACTCCTTTTCCTCTCCTTCCCGACTGGCAAAACTGTGAGAAAATACGATGTGTGCAGCAGGATTTTTGTTCGACGTTTCTTCCCACGTTTCCGCTCCTATTTTTTTGTGTTCAACCCCCTGGTCGGCCCCCATCTGGAAACCGTTCACCCCCCATGCCCCCTCCACTCCTCATTTTATGGATGACATAAAGTTTATACATAATTGAAAAGCCTGATTTTGCACATCACAATATACTCAAAAATGCACAGAATTGCAGTATGAAAATGCAAATATTACAAATGGCAACAAAAGCGCAAAATTTGCAACAAATTTCTGTATTACTGTATCAAATTACCAAAAATCAAAAATCGTTTGGTATCCTGATTTCAGATTGCTTTGGATTTCGGTGTAAAAATCGCTATATTACGACCATTTAGAGCGGAAAAATGGCATTAAAAACAGCGGAATTACGGTCATCAACTTTTTTCAACTGTATAAAACCTGCATCCAGTGAAAAAAACTGAGAACAAACTACAAAAATTTGCCGAGATCACCAAAATGACATTTTAAAGGGACCAGCAAGTAAACTACAGGTAGCGAAGAACCTTCCAAAAATTACTGCTAGTTTGCTCTGTCAGACTGTCGTTAGCATTCAAATGGATCCTGCAATCCCTTCCATTAAATTCGCAAGTGGGCTCCTAAATGGTTTCTGCTGGTTTGCCGGGATCGAAAGGTTTGAAAATCCATCGATTTTTGTTAAAATCAGCGGAAATTACTCTCAAATGGTCTTTGCTAGTTGCCGTTATAATCAAAAAGGCCAAAAATTCGACCGAAAAATCACAAGAACCATAATCCCGACATATAAAATGCTGTTTAGAAGGAATATTAGCATCAAGAATATGTCGGGATTGCGGCCTATCGGGATTGTGCCTGTCGAGATTTTCTGTCAGCGATTTCCCCAGTTGATCGCTGCTAGCCTGCCCTTTCCGTTAACCCAATTTCAAACATTTCCTAGTATCCTTGTAATCTCCGAAAATGACATAAAAACCAGGTGCCCGTTTCCATATTTATGAGGCCAGCGAAACGAGCGGAATTAGCATTCAAAAGTACACACCACACTCCCCGACCACCCTCCGACGTCATCAAGCAGGGAACCCCCACCCAATGGCTGGGAGAGCTGTCGTGTAGCTGTGTCTTTCTGTCTTTTCTGTCTTTTCTGTCTTTTCTGTCTTTTCAAAGGAGAGCTGTTTATAGTGCATCTGGCCAGTGGGAGGGCAAGTGCATTCGAATCGCACGGCCACCTTCGCTTCCAGGCCGCCCAGAACTCACCGGAATGTTGCAAAAAATTGATGGAAATGGGGGGTCGGAGCACCTTGGAATATTGGTTGAATTCCGGTCATGGAGACGGAGAAAGCCCACAGATGAAATCTCGACCGCCAGAATCTCAATAGCCAAAATCCCGACAGCCAAAGTTGCGTCGGACAAAATGCCGACAGCCAAAATTTCAACAGAAAAACTCGAGAGCTAATCGTGAAAAACCGTGGTAATCCCAATAGCCTATTCCCGACAGCCAAAAATGCCGACAGACAAAATGCCGACAGCCCAAAAGGCGATAGCTGTAAACCCTAGAAGAAAAATTCTCCCTAGAAGCTTAAATGCCGACGGCAAAAATGCCGACAGCAAACCAAGTTTCGGTATTTTGGATGTCGAAACTATAGATGTCGGCCCCTAGGCCTGCCAGTTTATTAAATGTCGGCATTCTGCCAAGGAATAGGAATATGAATTGAGACCCAAATCCATAGTGAGGCATTGCCAATCCCTTTAAAAAGAGACCATCAAGAAATTTAGAACTACAATGGAAAAAGAGTCGGATAATCATTGAAGTTAGATTTTTGAGCGTCAGCTATTGATTCTAACGAACCATCCAAATTTTACTACGTCCAGGAAACATTTAGAATTACTGCGAAGAAGTCCCAGAATTCTCGCGTCGATTGGAGCGCCGTGGAGCTAGAAACAGAACTACGCTATGCTCCACCTGACGCCCTAGCGTCGACAGATCATTTACAGATTTTTTCAAGGTGTTTTCGGCATTTTCCACCTACTCGGATCTTTGAACTCCCCTGCAAAACTGCAAAAGCCGCCAGCCCTCTAAAAATAAACCTTATCTCCCCAACCGGGAACTGTTGACAGCGATGCCTCGTAGCCGGGGCAGCAGCCATCGCCAGATTCCGTTTCAATACCCTGCCCAAGGTGCGTCAAGTGGTGTGTGTCGAAATTCCGCTAGACTCCACGCAACGACCAATAATGCCCGAAACTACCGTAACCCTGAATCCGGACCACCGTACCCGGTGTCGTGAATACGGAGGTGGCAAAGATGCCGAAGAGGTTGAGAATGAGATTTTCGGTGTTCACATTGATGAGTGAATAAATGGTCTCTTGAAGAGAAGCTTGGAAAATTCCTACAAAAATTCTTACAGCTGCGAAAATAGGCCAACTACGGTACAGTATGTTACTCCGAAATACACAAAATACGGGAAGAGCTGAATTTGTTTAACTGATGATTTGTCAGGGTGAAAAATCGGATTTTCTTTTCTGCGGCTCGATAGCTGGGAGGTGGGGAGCTGGGAGCTTCAGAATTTGGCTGCTCACTCGGATAGCTTGGAGTAGCTTGAAGTAGCTTGGAGAAAACCTAATTACAAAGTTTGTGGCACAAACGCCCAAGCAACGCGCACGCAACACGGCCGCGAAGCGCACGCAACGCAGCTGAATTCCTCTCAACTCCAGGCTTCCCCCATAACTCCTTTAGAGAATTGAGAGGCTGTGAAATTTGTTTTGTGAAAGAAGCTAGCTCCTTGCTCCCAGCTCCCAGTCGAGCCCCGCAAAGTTTCTCTTTTCTGACACTTTTTGGAAGCTGGAAGCTAGTAGCCGAAGCAGGGAAGGAGCAGGATAAGGAGAAGGAGCACGAGCTACGGCCTACATGAGTGCAACATTCGTCAGTAAATCGCTCGGTGAAGTTAACACGTTAACGGTTAAGTTCCCAGCTCCCAGCTCCTAGCCTCGGTCGATTTCAATACCTACATTTTCGCTCACGATTTTTTGTCCACAAAATTTCCAGACTATCACCGCCAAAAATACCCCGGCCAGCCAGCGGCTCCGGCTACTTTGTTATTCGGTGGCTGCGTTATTCTGGCTCTCTCTCTCACACTCTCGCTCTATCTCGCTCTCTCTCTCTCGCTCTCTATCTCTCTCTCGCTCTCTCTATCTCTATCGCTATACTAAAATCGTCAATTCCGGGTCGCAGGCACCCAGACCGTTGTTTTTTGCCCCTGCCACCCCTCCGGACAGCCAAAAAAAGAGAGAGAGAAAAAGTCAGGGTGGCACCCCTGAAAAACAAGGGTCTCTGGGCCTCTGGGTTTATCCGGTCTCTAGTCTCAATCTACCTCCTCCAGCCTCTAGAATTTCCCCATATCCACCCTGGACGAACGGGGAGGTGAGGGGAAGGGACGCAATGCCCAAATTGGGACCCTCAACCCCCCGCCCCCTCTTTCATCCCCATCCTGGTGAAGAAGGTGATGCAGTTCAGGGGTGGATGGAAAAAGTGGGAGTTTCCCTCGAACTATTTAGCAAAAATTAATCGTTTAAGGCTGCGGCAGATAAATCCATATTAAAGAATACCACAATCATGTCCTAATGCAAAAAGCAAAAGTTATGTGGCGACCGGGATCGGACCCACGCCCTAAGCCTCAGAGCCCAATCCTCTACCGACTGCGCCAGAGTCAGGACGACGTTAGGACGCTCGCTACTTTCAGCTTCATACTTTAAATTCAATAACTAATAGGTCCCTACAGCTCAAAAACCTGAAAAACTTCCGAAGAAACGCTAAAAGCCAGAAAAATGTAGCAAAATCGATATCTTTGCCGAATGCCCTAAAAACTTAACTTTTCGGACGTATTTCCCTTCCCATGCCACTTTCTCAAGCTTCCTAGGTTTCGAATAAGCTTGGAGTCAAGCCAGTTGCGGCCAGGGGGAGGGGCCTAACCACGAGAGCACGAGGCCTACGGTAGGCGTACGGTAGCGAGCTACGCATATATCCCCCAATGCCGTCCACCGGGGCTAGAAGCCAAAGGTCCATTGGAATCTAGCGGGATGCACACGTCAATTCTTTAATTTTGTTAAAACCGCTGTCCTTTAACGTGTCTAAAATTGCAAAAAAAAGATAATCGCCGGAATAGTGGAAAGCCGAAACGGGTCCACGTCCCTCGAGCAACTCGACTTGATTCTAATTTTTGTGCTAGCCGAACTGCTCGTACTTGTGGATCCTAGTCAGCGCGGAGTGAATGAACGGCTTGAACCTGCTGGGGACCCAGGAAATTATTTTTGAAGCGTCGCATAGGGTTTTATAGCGAAATGAATTCCGTATCAGGCTCGATTTATTCAAATCATTATTTTTTTATTAAATAACAAGAGGTATGTGTAAATCTAGGCCCCTATGAGCACGAGAAAAGGGTCTTCAATTGGGGTTTAACGTAGCTCAGAATCTTAAAAATCGCTGGTCCCTAAAAAATTCCTTAAATTGGAAAAAACGCAGGGAATGGCTAAAACAGAAGCTGGTTTACTGTTTAAACTTATTAAAACTAGCTGGTCCCTAAAAAATACCTAAAATCGAAAAAAAACAAAGAAAAACGCGAGAATAAAAGCGGGGTATCTACCCGGAATTTCTATGTTTTCCTGGGTGAGCACCCCTAGGAGCGTGTTGTCGAGCGGGTCGAGCGAGTGAGTGAGTGTGGTGGGTATTTGGAGGAGTTGTGTACTGGTTGGGGTAGAGGAAGGAGACGAGGATGGGGTGGGGCCCTTTCTGCTGCTGCTCTGCCTCTGCTCGTCCGCTTCGTCTTTATATAGGCGCGACATAGACGCGCCCGGACGTACACAACCAATCCCACCAACCACCGCCCCTCCACCCCGTACACATTGACGACAGATTTCGCGTCGGCACCGTGAAAAACAATCGAGAAGGATGTTGGCGGCTGGGTGGTAGATGTTGTTGGGCGGTGGCGAAGCGGGCTGGTTAGCCCGGTCAGCCGGACGGGCCGTTGTTGGGCCGTGGCGCACGCGAATGATGGGCGGACGACCTGGTAAGGGGTAAGCTTTATCAGAAATTTTTGATATCATGATTGCAAAATCCGTTTTCTTCAATGCTACTATCAGATACCAATTTTGGATACTAAGCAACAAAACGAACCCATTCAGCTTGAATTGAGCCAAAAACAACATTAAAAAGCCAGAATGGCATTTTGGGAAGCTATTTTTCGGGTTTTCGGCGCAAGCGCTTTTTTAACGAAATATCGGAAACGTTTGTGCATTTTTTTTCACTATCCCCACGCCAAAAAAGATCACAAATTTTCTTTAAAAACTTAATTTTAAACGTTAAAAAATTCGTTTTCTACTCAAATTGCAAAATGACCCGAATTTCCGCGATTTTCAAACGACTTTCTAACTTTTCTTAAAAGCTGTTGTGCTTCAAATATAGTCAAACTTACTTAAACAAGATAAAAGACTTTATATTCGATTTATAAGACTGGCCGTTTCCTACTAGCCAAAAATGACCTCAAAAACATCATTAAGCCTGACAGTTCTTTATGAAAAAAACCGCGCTACAAATAATAGCTAAAAACACGACCTCTTCTTCAAGACCCAGTTACCTAGGTATTATTACCAAAAACGCCGAACTCGTATCAAGCAATATACCTGATCCCATCGGCCTTCCAAGGCCCCGCGTAACCGAAAAGCCGCGAAGCCACACGTCGGGGTTGCTGCGTCGTCCTGCCCCGCTGCTCTCGGCCGTCCCCACGAGGCGCGGCCTTGCGCAGAAATACACAGCTGCGAGCCACCTCGAGCCCAGCGTGGTAACGGATCTCCTTTTGGCACCCGCCTTCTAAAGCCGGTTATAAACCTGTTGGACCTTTAAGATCGACCCCGCTACGCAAAAACCGAGATTTAAAAAGAAAGTAGAGGCCTAAAAGTTATAACTAACCCAACGGGCACTCGATATACCCAAAAGCCGTGCAATTCGCAGTCGGCAACGGAAAGTAATATGACTTCTGCTGCGCTGAGGCGAATGCTAAAAGACTTGTTTTTGCCAACTACATATATATGTACTCACCGATGAAGCAAAAAATCACCACGAAAAGCAACATCTCCGCCACAAGTTGTGCTGTGTCCGGCGCCCGAATCCGGGCACCCCACGTTTATTAAATTTTCTCCCCGAGGTAGTTGGCGAGGCGCTTGCGAAACCGGCCGCCAAAAATGGAAACCCGCCCAAACAAACTGCATTTATGCCAAACGTTTTGAAATCAACAGAAATACAACAAAAAGGAAATTATTAATCGGTCGCATACACCGTAATTAGATTAACGGGACGAAGAATTCAGTCCGGCGAGAGGGCGTCGTTTTGAGGTGCGAGGCTTGCGCACCATTGACTGTGGCGGTGTGGCATAAGATGCCAGTGGAGTTTCCTAAAAAAAAGAAATAAGTCCGGCTCCAAAAAGCATACCTCAACGTTTCGATCGGCTCCAGCGTCACCACAAATGCTGGCCGTTGGTGTGGCCCATTTCTGAAATTTTGAGGCTCTAGAAAAACATTGGGAAAGCACCTCAACCGACGACGACTTGAAATCGCGGCTCCTCTTCTCATCCGTCGACTCATCTTCCTCTTCATCAAGCGAAAGCCGCTCCAGAACGAGGCGTTCCTAAAATGAGATAAAACCGGAAACAGGAAACGCCTACCAAATCGGCGACAATTATCAGATCTTCCTGAATAAGCGGCTTGTAGCCATTGTCCTGGCGCTTCAGCTTCCAATAAGCAAAGAGTTCTTTGATGATATCTGCAGGTAGATCCGATCTAAACAAAGCATTTGAAAATCGGGTTCTTTGGCATTCTCGGGGGGTTTCCTAGGAGCTAATTTCAAAAAGCAATAATAGAATTTTTCCAACAATTTTTTACTATTCCCGAAAGTGAAATCTTTACATTACAATTTTTATTAAAAAAGTCAAAAATATCGATATTTTTCCACCAAAAATCCAGTTTTTACTTTTTCAATGCTTTTTAAAAGTTTTAGATAGCGTTTCTAGCTTAAATTCAGTCCTCTTTTACTAAAACACTATTAAACATTTCCAATTAAGTTACTAAAGATTCCTAGACTGATCAAAAAAGTCCCACACTCCCCCCGATAATGCAAAAGGACCAAACAGCTAAACGAAAAATGGGCTAAACTTACAATCTAATAGCATCTTCCACCGGTGTGCGTTCAACCAAATATTTCTCCAGCTCGCCCAGCTCCTCCGATCGCACCCAATTGTTCTCGAGCTCCCCGGGCAATGATTTCTTCTTGCCCCGCTTTTACCTAAATAGCAGACGCCATTAAACATTATGTCAGTAAAGTCACCTTTAACCTCTAGCGTGTGCTTCAGGCAATACGTGTGGTAATACCAGTATTTTTTGTCTAAAACAAAATTAACCTTAATTCCGATGGCCCACCATTTGTGGTGTAAAACTTATGCCCGGTACGCAAGGCGCAGGAGACGTGAAATGAAACGTCGCATCCGGGCTCCTGACATTGAAGACACGCGCCGAGGCTTGTATTGCACACTTGGCACCTCAAATATAACCATTTTTAGGCAAAGTCAAAAAAGATAAATTACTTCATGCTCCAGTTCGACAGGGGAATCTGCCGACAGTCGAGTTTATGTGGAGCAGCTCCGGAATAACTATAATAATTGAGAAAAAAACGTAATAAAGGTTTACCGGCAATCCCAAAACCATTTTCCACAGTTCAGATGGGCCCATCTGCCGTCGGTCGTCTCCATGAAGCCGCCCCCGCGCATCGGGCAGAGCACGCAGTTTGGCGGGCGTCCATCAAGTTTTTCGCAGCTTGAGCACTTCCTAGAAAATTTTATAACTGATAAATTTCTAAGGGCGTTCTAGATTTTTTCCGTTTTTTTCTGGTCTTTGATTAGTAAAAATCGTTAACCTTTTTAGGAAAAAAGGTAGATGATATTCTTAATGACCTTGATGGACTTTTGAATACCAAAAATCAAATAATTCGAAAACGGTAATAATTTCTGTATTAAACACTGTAAATGAAATGTAAAAAATCTGTACTTTCTCTAAATCTTCCCCTTCATCAATGGATATCACAGCAAAAAGAAGATTTACTCAAAGATAAGCAAAACGCACCAATCGCCTGGCAACTCTGAAGTGCCCATCAGCAGACACTCGGCGTGGCAGGTCATGTTGCACATCACGCAGTTATACTTCACCGCATCAATAGCGTATTCACGATCCTAAACACGTTAAAAAAAAATATTATTTCGGTCTTCACCCCGCATATGATACATTTCGCGTCGTCATCAGGAAGCGGAAACCGGGCAGGCAATGCCAGCGATTGGATGAGCGCGCAATGGAGTGCCTAGACAAATCAAAAGTCTCAAAAATACCTTAAAACCTCTTACTGTGTATGCCTCACTTTCGAATGTATTCAGCGTGTGGGCGAGCTGGTGCATCGTGATCCGGGCCTGACCATTCTCAACTCGCGCCGCGTTGCAAAGCTTCAGCCAGCGAACGTCGATTTCATCAGCTAAAAATGATTATAGAAGAAAGCTGAAAATAAACATACGCTGATAGAGTAGCTGCTTTGCCGGCTGGAGAATCTGATGGGTCTTGCGGGAAACGTAACTAAAAGTTTTAAAGGAAAAAAAAGACAGTTAGTGTGATCAGGTATCTAGAGGGCCTAGCTTGTTAGTATTATTGGCGTTTTATAAAATAGAGTTTTCAATAGTTTTTGATTACTAAAGAGACGCAAAATGAATTTTAGAAACTTTTGAAATTTAAAGTGCCACCATTTTCTCACATTTATTACCAAAATCAACAATTTTAGCAGGTTAAAAAATTTTCGAACGGTTTGGTCTCCAAAACTACGCAAAAGCTAAATAAAATGTAATAAAATTATCGGCATAAATCAAAATTCGAAAAGCTTCACAATTTTTTTGAGCTTTCTAGGGTTGAAAACGGCGTAAAAGCTATATAATGCGTGATAAATTTCTCACCAAAAATCAAAATGTGGAAAGCTTAACAATTTTTAACTTTCGATACTTTAAAACAGCGTAAAAAAGCTGCATAACCGGTGTTAACCCGGTTAATAGTCCAGTACAAAGATTCTACCTCGGGATATCCTTCTCTTCCAAAACGGCCGTCAGCCTTTTGGGTGCGCGCCAGACCTGCGCCTTTGGGCGCACCGTATCATTCTCTTCCATTTTGACGGCCTGATCAGGGGATGTGGAGGGTATTTGCACCAAGGTATAAACGTCACGCCATCTAAACAGATTTTGGTATTACACTGTAATATTACCTGAACCTCGAAAGCTTGACGACAGTCGGTTTTCCCTCGGCATCCACTACATCTTCCACATTCTCCCGTGCCATTTTCCGCGAGTCGGCCAGCATTTGGTAGTAGTACACATTAGAGTACTTCTCGTCCGTGTATTCTCCTAAGATTGTGTTTATCTTGAAAACTATACGAAAACTACCACGTTGCCGGCTTCTAGATGAACCGCCGGACGATGTGGGCGCGCTGTCAGGAGGCATTGAGGCTAAATTAACGGTTTAGAAAATCTAGAAAGTTTTTCTTTCGCATTGCATTTATCGGGGGATACAAACTGTTTTTTTCTTAGGAGCCAATTTTTCAAATATAATGGAATTGTTTATATACGAGTTTTTACTGTTCATAAACGTCAATAATTTGCAAATTGCCATTAAAACATCAAAAATATAGACCTTTCGACCAAAATGGCCGTTTTTTGACCAAGTTTGACTTTTCCAAGCTTTTAGAAGGTGTTTCTAGCTGAAATTTACTTATATTTTACCAAAAACTCCATTAAAACACTTCCTATTGAGCTATTAGGCATTTCTAGACATACTAAAAAAATCGGTCTTCCCGCCCCCGATAATGCACAAGAGCCAAAATAACCTAGAAGAAAAAAAAATACCGGAAGTGTTGGGCGTCTGCTGGGAAGGACTGTCGGAGCTGCTGGACAAATCTGGATATCCAGAATAGAGTACAGGAAACAGCGATACCTTGTGGTGGGAGAAGCTGGCTCCTCCTCGTCCGGTAGCGATGGGTAGTTGCCATTTTGGCTAAAATTTGAGTTAAAGAAGAGGAAGAAGTTAAAGAAGTAAAATGGCACAATAGAAATTGGGAAGAGGAAATACGAAGAATAAAGAATTTTCAGAAAAGAATAATAAAGAATCAGAAAGGACCAGACCAGAGTCCACTGCAATACTACGTGCATACCGTATCGGAAGAGTACGGTAGTTTCCACGGAAGGGGCGCTCCCTCCATTTTCTTCTTTTCGACAAAATTTCTCCATTCACAGGCACGATCTCTCCAAATTTCTTTTTCTGGAAAACATTCTCTCAAAAAGCGATGTTTGTCCCAAATTTTTCTCCACTTTACCTGTTCTCTAGCTCCTTTTCCACTATTTTTCTATCCTATCAACCAATTTTCAGTGTAACTGTATAATGAGTACCGCCACGGTGCCCTGGAGACCACCCGGCATCGATGCTACGCGTCAACCTTCACCACAAGAGGTTTCCCCAGCTTTGGTTTTCGAAAATGTTATTTTTTTAGGAGAGCTCTCACAAATTGGCACATAGTTTCACCTTCTCCTACTTTCATGCACCGCGGAATTTTGATGGAGAAGACTACAGCGGGCATGTACAACAGCTGGCAGTGGTTAGTGATTTCTTTTTTTTTCAAAAACGTCGGCTTTAGGTAAATACTGTCGAAGAATTCTGGCGTGCCTATTGCCATATTCGGCGGCCCGGCGATATCAATACGAAGCTCGACCTGCACTTTTTCAAGGTTCGTCTGACTTTGTGAATGTTTTTTTACAAATTTTATTTCAGGCAGACATCCGGCCGGTTTGGGAAGACCCGGAAAACGTGGAGGGTGGCAAGCTGTTCTGGCGCATCAAGGCCAACTTCGCCGACCGGATTTGGGAGAATATGCTGTTGCTCCTGGCCGGCTACCAATTTGAGGTAACCCGATCGCGTGTAGCTAGCCAACTCGGATTTAGGACTCTGAAGACATTGCCGGTGTCGTGTGCACGATGCGAGGCCGAGAGCGCATCCTCTCCATTTGGCACCGCAGCAAAAAGACGCAAGAAGAGGTCGAGCGGTTCGCGGAAGTGGTGTCGGCCCAATTGGAGATGCCCAGCAGTGTTGTCTGGCTTCACAAGAGTCATGTGGAAAGCTTCAAGAAACGACGATCTTACCACTGAATTTCGATATTTTGGCGGCAGCTTATAAGATTTTGAGAGGTGCTGCGATTAGTTTGTCTGATAATACATTTGTTTCTTATAGAAACCTATTGATAAATTCTTTCATTGACCGTATTCGATCCGATCCTCAAATGATTTGAGAAAGTTATAGATTGTATTTGCCGATGTAGGGGATAACATTTATTCAACTACCTAGATTTGTACCTATTCACTACATTGTGATTAGTTTGATTAAATGTAACAAAATGAGTGGTTGAGCGGTGGGGAAGCTATATTAGCCGTAGCGAGATTCAAGATCTAGGGATCAAGAGAAGGTAATATCAGGATCAAAGGAGAGAGCCCAGACGAGCCATAGAGGACATAACGCCATTACGGCTTAGGACTTGATGTGCTCGTCTAATCTCCGGCGGCGTCAACGCCGGAGAAGCTTCGTCCGTCCTACGGCGTGCCCGCATGGCCTCCTCGACGAGTTCACCGAGAAACGTCTTTGCCACTGCGCCAATAACCTCGGCTATGCTCGGACCGATCATGATGTCACAGTGCTTCTATAACAAGAATATTATAATTTGTCTTATAGTCAATTCTTTCGTATCCCGGGTCGTCAATTTTTGGCGTATTTCTAAACTATGGATAGCTGTTCGTAGCCAGATTTTCATAGCTGTTTTTCAAGCAAAAAAATGGTTAATTTGAAGTGAAAAAATCGTTTAGAAGACTAATATGTGTAAGAATTTGAACGTTTGTCAAAAAGCAAGCGTTTTCTCGACCGAAAAATCTATTTTGATAACGTTTATAAAGATTGGTAAAAAAAGAAAAATTGAACGTTTTTCAAAAAGCAAGCGTTTTCTTGGCCGAAAAAACCTGTTTTGATAACGTTTCTAAAGATTGGTAAAAAAGAAAAATTGTGTCGCCGCCCCGGCCATGCTAAAGAAAAAAAATTGCTTTTAGGAATTCCGTCTGCATAGTTTACGAAAAGCGTCTACCTGGATTATATCTTGCATCATATCCGAGGAAAAATTGGCTGTCGTGCAAGCATCGTATCGGTCGAGTTGTTCTCGCGTTAGGTTTGCCATCAAGACCGTCTTGCGAACACCATGGTCACCGGCAGCGCTGCTGACAGCCGCCTCAGGCGTCATGGCATCAGCCTCGAAGAAAGGCGAGCTTTTGGCAAAGCTATAGCGAGGCATCTCCGGGATGACACGGAGCCGAGCTTCAACTATAGTTTTCTCGATCGGCGGTTCACATTCCAGTTCAGGTGGCGGCTCGACAAGAGACTCGACAGGACTGTTGCTGCGCTCTTCCTGCTCCTCAAGTTGCGTCAGGGCTTCATGGAAATGGACTTCACGAGAGACGCTGCTTGTCGGCGAAGGGCCGAGCACGATCAACTCTCGACTCCGCCTGTAAGAATGGCGCTTCGCATCCACCCCATTCCTGCCTTTAGGTGTTTCGAGGCTGATGTCTCGGAAGTCGCATATTTTGTGCTCCGGCTCCACCATGGCCATATCGGATATGGTTGTATTCTGCGTGGCATCGGAAGAACGGGTGTTCGATGATTCACTGCCTTCCGTCTCGCTGTCAGACACCTCGCCAAGCTCGTTAGCGTGTGGTAGCGATCGCACAGAGTACTTCCGTTTCGGGGGTACAATCTTCTTACGAAGATCCCTATGATTAAGGATAACGAATGAACTTCAATCTGCCAACCTCGAAATTCTAGTGGGAAAATAGTCATCAACGTCGACCGGTATTTTCCTTATATACGCCTCGGACCTTCTCGGCACAGCGACCGCAGCCATCTTTGGATCGTAATAGCCCGAACCAGCTTTTCGCTTTTGGGGACCATTCATCTGAAAGTTAAATGGTTCTTCTAGGATTAATAGAGGGGAGGTGCGATCATGAGAAAACATGTATTTCGTGAAACTACCTGGATTATGAAACGGCGCGACTACGTTTGCCATTGTAAAAATTGCGAAATCCCCCCTTTTCTGATACGGCTGCTGGATACATACAGGGTTCGTTCTCGAGTCTCGGACCATTTGTAAACGTTTTATTTTCCAACGAACCAAAATATATAAACATGCTACAGGCAAGATTTGCACGTTTTCAAAATTCACGCAAATACGTGGAGCAAATGGCTTGAAATAAGGGCTTAGAAAGATGCTGATCGATGTGGCGAGTTTTCAATGGTAAAAATGGTCCTTTTGCGTAGTGGAGTCTCAGGCAATGAGGAAGCCGATCCCGGCAGTTCAGGCGTGGGTTCTGGCTCTGCTTTAGGTAGCAACTCGATCGTTTCAGGCGTCTGTTGCACCAAATTCTCTGACCACGTCCCATGGCTCTTATACGCCTTGCGGAACCTAAAATGAATCCAATTAACACTAGAGATCCATCTTACCTCTGAATAAGGCTTTCGATGATGTCGACAGCCGTGAGCTCGTCAGCAAACATGGAAATGAATCGGAAGAGTAGTCGACCGTCGGGGCCCAGCGTTTTGAAGAGGGTCTGAAAATTGTTGCTTTTTTGCTTAGAGCAGTAAGCCTTACCTTGCTGTCGACATAACGATGGAAACTGATCTTACGACCAGAGTGCTCGAACAGGTTCTCATGCGAACTTGTCAAGCCACGAAGCAAGTAAAGCATCCATGACATCATGTTCGCGATTGTGATAGCTAATAACTAAAAAAAACAGGGATGATAGAAAATCCAAACGTTACCAAAAGCAGCCAAAACCATAAAGCCATGAAGACCTTTTCGTTCAGATAGTTGAGCGTAAGCAGGCATTGTAAGTTGTAGCCAAGTGGGTGCCCAGCACCACCAAGCGGTTGAATCCGATTCGTTTTGCAAAACACCACCTAAACTGTTGCAAATACATTCGAGGAATAAACCTTCGGGAATACGCCATAGCCCATGTTATCGTCAGCTCGTGTGAATATCGTAAATAATTGCTAAAAATTTTCACTATGTAAGCAGTCAAAAATACCTCAACGCCAAAGCTCATCACAGGAATTCCAAGGAAGTAGCGGACCAACGCGAGCAGGAATACGACATTAATAATTAGTAGCACCTAGAAAGAGAGTTACATCGGAAAATTCGCTAACTTTATGAAACATGTAGCCCAATGTCGCCGTCCTTTGAAAGAGGATGCTTCCGATGCCGCTGCCTCGCTTCTGAAGTAAAGGGATTGCCAATTGAAAGCTAGAATCAAACCTCGGCTTGATAACGGTTTGTACGATAAATATATTCAGCAATTTGCGAGGAGAGTGCGGCTCTTTTTTCGGGGTCCAGCTCTGTCGAGTAGTCCTTCGCGTGCCCCAAAATCAAATCAATATCCATCCCTAAATAATTTCGTTACAGTTCCATCAGTCTAATCACGTACATAATACGGCGATAACACGACGCCAGAGCAGGTACGGCAGAAAGAAAAACGCTATCATGGTGAAGAGGAAAAGCGGCACCCACTGAACATCTCATTTCATCGGATTGAGGATCAGACCTGATAATAATTGATTTCCTTGCCAGTCTCAATATTCGCCACGCGGTCGTGAACATCCGCCAGCGAATGAAACGTGCGATAGTTGTAGGTAGTCGAGATAAAGCAGTATTCGTGGAAGTACTTATGCCAACCGCCATCTGCAAAACGTTTACACCACCTCCAAAATGCACTTTTACCGTGTAATTCTTTCGGCAGAATGCAATGAATCGGTGATCCCGCTTGCGATTTGGCGTAGACCAATATTCCCATCAACGCGAGTAGTTGTGGGGTCACTTTGTGATGGAGGCGGTCAACGAAGTCACTTGCACGTATCGTCCGCAAGTACTGAACATTCTCATCGAGTACTTTCTGGAGGAATGGCAGGTCCGGCAGGGCCATCTAAATACATTTATTATCTGAGCGGTAAAACAGCAAATTGTGAAAATCAAAGTCTCTTGGAAAAGTCACAGCGCAGAGAAAACAACAAAATCACAGAATTATTTAGGTTCATCGGAAACGATCCCAGAGTCACTGGCTTCAGCCTTCTGCGTGGGCTTGTTCTCGTCAATATCAGGCGTCGACTCCTTGGGAATAGACCGTCTAGCGGCGGCTCGGATACATAGGTCTGCTAGGCGCTCTTCGAGGACCCGCAATGTTTTATCACCGAGTTCCTCCAACGTATCCGGAACGGTCTCCACCAATGCACTGCCGCGTGCGTCATTCAGCAACAAGGAGGTGGCAAATTCGGTCAACTTCTTCTCTTCAGCAGCGCCCAGATTGGCGGCGTGGGTGAGCTCCTCAGAAGAAAGGAAGAAGTCATCGATGATGTTATTGAAGAGTCGATCCTCGAATAAGTGGTCGGACGCGCGGGTCATCTCGGCGGCGATGAACTTGAGCGGCTCCTGGGGGCGCTGGGCGGGCGGCAGTTCGCAAAGCTTGGCCAGAGCTTTTGAAAGCACCTCGGTGACGCCGGATTCCTCGAGCGAATGGCGAAACGTTTCGGTGGCCTTTTCCGGCAATCGCGGCTTCGACGGAGGCGTGTAGCGTGGCGCGTCAACGTTCCAGTTGATGGAGCTCATCCTGAAAAAAAGAAGATTGTTTATCTCGAAGGTTTGAGAGTTTTTAGAAGACGAAATGCGGTTTGCTTTATTTATTTGGAAAGAAGCAAACATACGCTAGCGGATTTTCGATTCAATTTCGCGAAATTTTTCATCTGAAAAAAAGACGGCGATCGGATTTCGTTTCCGTTTCACTCCGCCGGAAATTATTGGATTACGGTCATTAGGGCGCAATATACGGCCCGATTTCGCAAACGTCAAACGGTGTTTATCGGATTTTTACTTTTTAATTAAATTTAAGGATTTATTTCATTTTGCTGCCTTTTCAACGCCTTAAAAAAACGTATTTTTAGCTTTATTTCTGTGCTCTCCAGCTCCATTTTCACGAATTCTCCTGAAAAGCCGCCTTTTGATACCTTCAAAACCAAATATCCTTCATTTACACTCGCTTTACTACCGTATTCGCTTTATAGGGGCTCGCCAGTGCGGGAAGTAGCGCTATTCGCCGCCCAACGCACCGTGGAACCACTCTCTCCCGGCGCGGTGTTTGTTTTTTTTGGACGATTACGCCTTTGAACTGCTGGGTGCTGGCCGAGTGCCCCCATGCAATGGAATTGTCTGGCTTAGGCTTGAATGGATGACGATCGATCCGGAAACGCTGGCGGTGATGTGGAGCAGGTAGCTTTTATGGTGCTAATGCAGTTAGGGGGGGCAGTCCGAAATTGGTAGTAAGGGGTTACGAGACGCTCTGCTTAAGCTACTTGGCTTTCTACTTAAGCCTAGGCTTAACTTAGCTTCAACTAAGCTTAGCTTAGCTTAGGCTTAAGCTTAAGCCCAAGCTAAGCTTAAATTGAGCTTTAAATTGCCTTAGGTGGTCAAAATGGGGTCATTTCGGACTAAGTTTAGAGCTAAGCTTAGTTTGGCTCAAGCTAAGCTTAGACTTCGTTTGTATGAAGCAAAGCCTAGGCTTAGGCTTGGCTTAGCTTTTCCAGAGGCTTCGAGTTTAAAAAACGGCAGTTGGAGCGTCTTGTAGTCAAAATCCGGACTGCCCCCCCAAGTGCATTAGCACCGCTTTTATTGTGGAAACTCTAATTTTACCCGAATAAGGGCTGATTTTGATGTTATCTTCAATTTAATTTAATTTTTACAGGACCAACCCGTGCCGCGAGCTCGAAATGGCGAGATTTTGCGAAATCTGGCGGGTTTCTGGTTAGTTTTATCGTGTTTACCAAGAAGGCTCTATATTTTTAGGCTCCTCGGGCTCTGCAACAATTTTGCGTACGTGATTATGTTGAGCGCCGCGCAGGATATCTTGGAAAGCGGCTCAAAGAACAAGACAACAGCAACTTGTCAGGTAAAAAATTATTAAACTTTGTTTCAGCAAATGTTTAGGATGCAATCATTGAGCGAGAATGCGCACCGATGTCGACCGGCTCGGTGTTGTTGGCCGACATCATCCCATCATTGTTTATCAAGCTGATCGCCCCCTTGTTCATCCACGCGATTCCATTTGGGTATGGGTCTAAACTTTATCCTACTATATATAATATATATAATATGAAAAAAAAAATATACTAACGGGGCCGCTTCGCGTCTTTTCAACCCTGGCCCCCGTCTAGCGTCATAATATGCTTCATTTTGCATAATTCTCGCGAATTCCGATGACAAAAAAAATGAAAATCTCTCCCTCCGCTTATTATATAGGCTCGCGCCATTTCCGGCATATGCTAATTGATTCCTAACAAAGTGGGTGCTCCATTTTCTAACAAAAACTTAATTTTAACGTCGAAAATAGCATAATTTGCAAAATCTGATGTGTGTGCAGGCATCTCAGCGCCATTACGCATCTACTGACGTATCATACGTTGCTTAAAACCCTTTCCCTCTCGAGATATCCTCCGGACACCCTGACGGAAGTTGCATGCAAAGTGGCACACACACACAAACACACAGACACTATTTTTTTATATATAGTAGGACATTAAAACGGGGCGTAAGTACTATATATAAAAAAGTAGTGTCTGTGTGTGTGTGTGTGCCACTTTGCATGCAACTTCCGTCACCATGTCCGGAGGATATCTCAATAGGGGGTGAAATTTAAGGTACGTATGATACGTCATTAGGTGCGGAATAGTTACGAGATGACTGCACGCATATCAGATTTTGCAAATTATGCTATTTTTGACATTAAAAATCATTTTTTGTTAAAAAATCGGGCAGCCTCTTTGTTAGGAATTAATTAGCATAAGCCGGAAGTGGCGGCAGCCTATATAACGGCGGAGAGGATGCATTTTTCATTATTTCTCATCGAAATTCGGTCGAATTATGCAATGTGCAGGATATCATGGGCTGAGACGGGACCAGGGTTGAAAAGTCGTGAAGCGGCTTTTTAACCCTGGTATTTTCTGTTTCCAGAACCCGCCATGCCATCGTCGTCCTGCTACAAGCTTTTTCCTACATCCTCGTGGCTCTTGGCAAGGATGTCTTCACAGCTCTAACTGGCGTGGTTTTGGCAAGCTTCGCATCTGGACTTGGCGAAATCTCGTATTTGTCCTTGGCATCTAACTTCAAAAAGTAAGCTCAGACACAGATTATTAAAGTACACATTTTCAGTGATGTTGTATCTGCTTGGTCGTCAGGGACCGGCGGGGCCGGAATTTTTGGTGCCCTGGCTTATGCAGTATTGACAGGTAGATTATTTCCTATTTTTGCACGCTAGAATCACAATGCAGACCCCTACCTTCTCGGCTTCACCCCAAGAAATGCACTGCTATCGATGTTATTGATGCCGGCGGTTTTTGCACTCACGTTGGTTTAATGAATCCCAAAAATAACAGTTCTTCAGTTATTGGCGGATATTGCTAATCCCAGCGGCTGTCCATCGAGTTAATATTATGGACCGGTCAACGTATTTCGTGAATCGAGGCAAGATTTTTGTATTTTAATAAAATACGGAATCTTAGGTTCTCGCCGGCGACTTTTGAACTCTGAGTCGGAAGATATTCAGCGCAGGCCGCTGCTCAATTCACCGCCAGACTCGCCGACGGAAGAAGGTAGGGCTGAACAAGATTTAAAAAATTTGGATTTTCTAGATTTACACGATCATCGTCATTTTTCATTCGACGCGCTTTCCAATGATGATAAATGGGCGGCGGTTAGGGTTCGTTTTATGGCTATAATAAAGCTAAAAAGGATCGACTTTTAGCATCTGTTAATTTTTCAAAAACAACTACTTTTTAGCCCCTCCTCCGCTTCATGGTCCCCTTAATGCTCGTGTATTTTGGAGAGTATTTCATCAATCAAGGGATGGTTAGTCTTAATCACCTAATCAATTACCTGCAATTATTTTCAGTTCGAGCTGCTCATCTTCGACTGTGCGCACGGTTTCGGGCTGTCGCCGGCGAGTCAGTACCGGTGGTATCAAGTGAGTTTTCAGACCTGCAGTACCAAATTGCCGTATTTAGGTGCTGTATCAGCTCGGGGTGTTTGTGAGCCGATCGTCTTCTGGATGGGTTTCGATCGCGCCGGGGATGCTGCCGATTTTGGCAGGGTTGCAGGTTCGTTTTGGACTTTTTTCGGGGTCAGTGTTCGGTTACTTCGGTGTGAATTTTTCCCGAGAATCCAATTTTTCTAATGCAGGTACTTCCAGACTGTTTTTTTTTCAATTCTGAAACGTTAAAAATCTAGGGGTTTTGACAAAAATCCATAAATATATATTTTTGGACTAGAACTTCATAGTTTGAAGCTTTTTTTAGTTTTTCGAATATTTTTCCCATGGAAATACAGTTAAATTTTACTAGCAATACTATAATACTATTTACTATTGTGTATGCTATGGGGCTACTACTAAACTACTGCCGATCCCCTTAAATATTAAATTCGATACTTGCCCTTTTGCAATTATTTTATCGAAATTCCCTAATAATCCTTGCTAGGCTTTTTTCTATGTGTTATTTTCTAAAAGCCGTCCACCTCTTAGCCAGATACGCTTTGGGCTTTGATCCGCACGACCTTGCATTTCCGGTCGATTTTTTCCCTATAAACAAAAGCTGAGGCGATGCAGCATGGCAAGGTCGAGTGGCTGGACAGTGCAGTCGAGTCACGTGGTGGTTATCTTTGCGTCATTTCGATACCACCAGACTGATGACCCGGTTTTGGGAATAGTTTCCGCGTGAGGATCGGTTTGGACTTTTTTTTTGGGGATATTTCAGGGTATTTCGGAGTTGGGAAAGGCGAAGAGGGGCACGTGGTCGTTTTAAACTACGTTTTTAGGAACCGAGAAGCTTATTAGCTGCTGTAAATTGTCTATTAGTTGAAATCGTTGTAGTTGAGTTCTAATGGGGGTAAGGAGGTTTACCTCTAGGTGAATAATGGTTAATTATTGGCAATTTATGAAAGTTTTCAGGTTTTATTTAATTAATCAAACCACGCCTGTTCTTTAAAATTAGATATTGTTCCCCAAAAATATTTTTACCACTTTTTCGACGTTTCAAGCACTCTTGTTTCGTTGTATTTTGATCCGAAAACATTTTTGCTAGCCCTACTTTTTGCAATTAGCCAAATTCGCTTGCTACGAAGCAATTTGGGCGAAGGAATGCCAGACGAAAATCAACGTCTCATTTACTACTCGGCAAACTCGGCATTTGTCCCTCGTCCCTCACTCGGGCCGCGACGAGTCTACGAGTTCCGCACCGCGGCTGGCTTCTCTTTTTGCAAAAAAGAAGAGACCGGAAATGGAGCCGGAAACCGTGACGTCGTGCTCGTGCAAATTAGCCACACCCTGCTGCGAGTCAATCACCATCGGAGGCACCCACGAGGGAGGAGTAGCATGGGTTCATGGGGTTTGCTTATTGTTTTGATAGGCAGAAGGTGGACTGGTTTTGGTGGTAATTGAGGTGGGGTTTAGGATATGACGCTGTATAGGGCATTATTGAGGGGCAAAAATTTCGTAAAACGGTAGAAGCTTGGTTAATGTAGTCGCACTCAAAAACTTTAAAACTCACTCAAAAAAATTTCTATTGCATTGCTAAGCTTAAAGAGACGACTGATATCAGAGTAACATAAACGATTCCGTTTAAAGACGAAATCCTTTTTTTTTCAGGAAGTTCTCTTGCCTTGCCATTTTGCGGCCGGATACGCTCCTTGAAAATGCCATATTTAGCTTGCCTCTAGATTTCTCTAGGAAGAGCCTTAAAATTTGGTATGGATCTGGATAATAATGAAAACTTTTATTAAGATATTTAAAACTGAATTTTCTTTTAGCCGGTCCCCATTGCCATTTTGGAAAGTACACGTTGCGAGGGGGATCAGGAACTAGTTGGGCAGCCGGGGGTAATATCTCGGCGAGACTTGGCAACGCGACAATCTCCAGCCCGATAAGACCACTTTTTACAATACCTCACGCGGGCGCGCCCTGAAATCCGTGTCAATCCCCGTGATGTTGCAGGAGTGGTAGAAGAGGCACACGAGGGCTGAGAGCTGTCTGCATTGTAATGACATCCACCCGGTTGGGGAGGGGGTGGATTGGTGGAACGATATTGTTATTGTTTTTTACGGGGTGGTGATTGTCGAGGATTGGGAGATGAAGCTTTGGCTTACAACCGGGTGGAAAAGCTGACTGAGTTAGAGAAGCTTGTGAACGGTTGCAACTTTTTTTTTGCATTTTTCAGCGTCGCTAGGGTTTTTTACGTAGGGATGAGTCTAGCTTTTCCAGAATTTTATGATGCGCTCGAAGGTAGGTTCAAAAATTTCCGAATCAATCAAATTAGTAGTTAGACAAATAATTTTTTGGAGCAAGAATTAGCTAAATTAGCGAATTTTTATGTAAAAAGACCTCGTAACTTTTTAAAACGGCTATTTTGCAAATTCGGAAGCCAGATTGATGCAGCGTAAAATTCTGACCAAATTAGACTGAAAAAAGCTTAGCTTCGTTAGTATAGCTTCAATTCTTTTACGAGCTACCTTTTTTGAATAATTACGTCAGGTTAATTGATGCATTTCCCTTTTTAAGGTCACTCCCTCGTTTTTGTTCGCATTACGTTGCCTATTATGCACTAAACAAGCGATCCGCGCCGGAAATGATAGATCATCTAGGGAGGGTGCGATTTTCCAATTCTCGTTTTCTCTCGCCCACTCGCCATCTCCTTCTCCCTTCCCGCTGTCTTCTCCAGCGGATGGAATGTTAGCAACCGCTGGGGTACGGTAAGCGGACACGGAAGTCCTTTTGGCGGTCAGTTGTTGGCTGGTTTTTAGTGTAAAACAACAGCGCCTGCAATATGACGCTAGCGGGGAGCGAGATAAGGGCACGAACGAACGGCCACGTATGGAGTTGATTTGGTAATTGGGAGCTTGCGTCAGATTTGAGGTATTTGAATGGTTGGGACCGGAAGTGACGGAGGTGAAGACGAGGTTTAGACGCGACGCGGCGATAGATAGAGAATAATTGGCATAGCTTAATTTAATGTCGTGTATAGTTGGCGTTATTTTTGATTTTTCAAACACTTGCTGAGGTTTGCGGAAAGTTACTGTATTCGCTCATAGATGTTTGTGGTGTTCAAAAGCCCAATCCTTCCTTGGGGCTCGAAAGAGACCGAAAATTTCCTTTTTCGCTAGGTGTCGACAGTGCTGGTAGCGCCAAGAGTGTTGATGCTACTTTTGCTAAGAGAGCTCTAATGAATTACTCGTATTTTGGACTGTCGCGTAGCTGTCGATACCTAATCTGAGGAAGAGGGTCGATTCTGGAGCTTCCCAGCCCCTTTAAAGCGAAAAATAAGCCAGGGATTTATTCTTTTTAACTATTTTGTAGTCGCGACCTTGATCAGGACCCCATATTCATTGATATTACCGTATTCCGGCCAATAGTGGAGATTTCTAATACATCGTAATCGGTTAGACCTAGTTTTCCACAACCATAAAAAAATACCGACGTCTTACCTTTCCATCCCCGTTAAAACCCGGTCCCTCGATCCCGACAAGTTCATAGGGACACACTGCGGGGATGACCAGTGATTAGGACCGTTTCCGCTTAGGCTTCACCGCCTGCGGGTGGGCAGTGTGGGACCGGTGATGCGGGAGGGCATTCCACACATTCCGCACTCGGCGACCGTGTCAAAACATAAGACATACACACAGACAGACCCACGTCTCTCTACCCCCTCACTCTTCTGGCTACCATCATCACCCACGCTCCGAATTCCACGGGCTGGATTATGATTGATGGGATATACAAAGAATCCGAATCGACATAGCCTACCCGGTGTGGTCATGCGCTCGGGGTGGTGGCTGATGTTCGGGCTCGGCACGTCCTCGAGAAGTTCTTTGACAGGGATCTGGGTCATTAATGCAATTAATCTATTAGATAGAGAAAAAGAGCGAGACATAGAGAGAGAGAGAGGGAGAGAGAGAGAAAGAGTGAGAAAGAGAAAGAGCGGAGAGAGAGAACAGGGAGAGAGGGAGGGACTGAGAGTGATAGAGTGCGAGATAGAGAGAAAGTGAGTGAGAGAGTGCGAGAGTGCGAGAGAGAATGAGCGCAGGAAAGGAAAGAATTTGAATAATTGAGCGCTAGTCAGAGAGCTTGAGAGAATGCGAGAAAGAGAAAGTGAGTGGGATAAACGAGTACCGTCAGAGAAACCTTGGCCCGCTACCATAGCCTCGTAAAACTTAAAATCCCTGCAATCCCACCTCAGAATTTCATCAGTTTCCCCCGGCAATTTTCATCCCGCCTGACCTACCACCGACTTGGCCGGAAGCCCGAAGCCTTTGATTGGCGCGCAAATAACCCACCATCCATCATCAGAGCCGTCCATTCGAGCAAAAAACATGGCGCCGATATTACCGGGAACTGGCGCGCAGCAGCTGCGGCACATTCTTTTCTTTAGCTTGTTGTTCTTCTCCAGCGATATCACCTGATGGTTTTGGAATAACTCTGGGGTCAAACGGGCTCGAAGCGGGTTTTTGCCGTGATATAACGGAATACGGTAGTCGGAGGAGGAATAGAAACTGTACCTGACTTTTTTCTAGAGAAAAGGATTTTGCAAATGCAGATTCTGTTAAATATAGTAATTATGGTGGGACTAAAGTAGCTTGAATCGTGTTTTGGGGATCTGGTAACTGAATACGGTAACTGGGGCAAGGAACAGAAATTCTATGCAAATTCCAGGTTTTTCGAAAAATTCCGACTCTAAAACCTTTTTTCAGTTGCTGAACGCGACGCTGTTCACGGGCGACGCGTGGCTGCACACCGTCCCCCACATCTCGCTCCTCTTCATCGCCATCTTTTACGAGGGTCTCCTAGGTGGTGCCGCCTACGTCAACACGTTCCGCGCGGTGCACAAATTGGCAAGTTTTTTCCAGCCGAGGAAAGCGCGATTTATAACGCTTTAAATTTTAAACGTGTTTTTAAAAATTCAAAAGGGTTTTTAGAAATTTTAAAAGCAGCTTCAGTTTTTAACAAAGCTAAAACTCTTGATGCTTGATTGCCTCGAAAAGTACTGCGTTATAAATTCACGATTTACTGATGAGTTGTGGCCTCTGATTTACGGGCTACAATACACTTTTTTTTACAGAATCAATCAAGATTTGGCTGTGCATTTTTAATTTCCCGATATTTGCCACTTTCTAATACCCAAATAATTCCCATTGCCGGTTGACCAATCAAGCGGTGAGAAGAGCTCAAAAATAGCCCCATCCAATAGGTCAATTTATTTTTAGACGCTGGAGAGAAAGAGAGCTGCCGAGAAAAAAATCTTGACCCCTAGTCTCAAGTTTAAACCAAGAATTTCCGGGGGTCACATTACTCAGAATGAGAGGTTGACAAATGTCGTTTCCATTTCCGGTGACACACCTTGTTGTTTTGTGTGCTCAGGGCTGCCGTTTCAACGTTTTAAGGTCATATTTTTGGCTCACAACACAGCCGCCCACCGCAAAAAAGCCCGCGAGAATGGTAGCGATTTGTAAAAACCGGGGCACCGATGTGTCACTTGGGGGGATCGTGACGAAACCGGGGAGGCAAAAGAGGCCACCCTCTGACTAGATCAAATTTCAATAGGCATTGGCTAGTGACTTGTGAGTCACTTGTGACGAGGCAGAAGGTAGTTTTTGCCAAGAAAAGAAAGTGGACATGACTTTTTGGGCTCAATAGACGGGCTGACTAGGGTGACGAGGCGCTGGAATTTGGAGCGTAGCGTTGTGTAAAGCGTACTAATCGGTCTTAGAGAGAAGAAACAGGCAGAGGTGGTTCATTTCTAGCTAGTTTTTCTGACTTTTTTTTTTGCGATGTTTTGGATCGAACTGGAGTCCTTTAGTCATTTTATCGAAATTTTTATTAGAACTTTTTCTAGAATTTGCAAAAATCCGGATGTTCATGGCTTTAGATTTTTTCGAACTTGGTTAGCTAGGATTTTTGCTGTTTATTGTTGCTATTTTTGCCGCGGAAAGGCTTAATTTTGGGAACGAAACGATGCAAAAAGCGGTTTAATAAAGTTTAAGTTTTATAACAATTCGTTTTCTTTTCCGCATTTTTTCTTTTCTTAGTTCGCATGAAAATTCACGGAAAATGTTGGTCTTTCGACATTTGGAATTCACAATTTAACCCTTTTGCGGCTATAAAAATTTAGGTAACTTGGTTTTCCCAAAAAACCTTTAAATTTTGGATGCTTTTTGTCCTCGACAACCACTAAAATCTTATAAAGGGCTAGGTAGACCTAGATCGACAAATCCAAGGTCTTTTTCTAGCATTTATGGCCCGTCCCTCCCGACTTCCTCAGGGGCTTCCGTTTGCTAAAACGTGTGCCAAGTGGGGTGATGAGTCAGCGCTCGACTCTCGAAATAAAGAGAGAGAGAGAGAGAGAGAGAGAGAGAGAGAGAGACAGAGACTGATAGAAAGAAAGGATGTGAATGGAATGTTATGCGCCTCTGCTGCACCCGTTGCTCTTTGCTAGTCTCTCTTTCTCTTTCTTTCTAGCCCCCTCCTTCCGTTTGTCGTTTTATATGACTGTGTGCGCGTGTGAGTGTTTGTGTCTGTTTATGGCCCTCTATTTCAGCAGAATTTTAAGAGTATGGCGTGATTTGTGCACACCACCTCCGCAATTTCCAAGTTTTCCACGACACCCCTAAAAACAGTCTCGCCGAACTCGACCGGCCGTAATTGGGAACTGCGTATTTGCGTTGTGTTTTGGCGTTCGCCTTTCGAGCTGGCTGGTGAGCCGGAGAAGCTATTATTCGGCCAACGCCTAGAACTTGACGAAAAATGGGATCTGGAAAAAACAGCAGTCGTTGAACCTGTCAAGGCTTGATTGATTAGGATGCTAATTAATGGTCATTAGCGCCGAAAAACATGGAGTGTCGTTGATTTGTTCAGCAAAGAGCCCTCGTGACGTCAAAAAGCTGCTTATCAGAGATCCGCTAGGTTTAAAATACAGGGTGTCCCAAAAAAAAACCCCCCCCTCGGCATTTGGCCGTCTTCTATCGGATCGGGGCCAAATTTTTACCAGTGATGGGGACCCATAAAAACTATGTGCAGCCGAATTTTCGACGCAAAATATTGTAGGACAAAAAAGTTATATTGAAATTAAGGTTTATTTTACCGATTTCACTAAGATTTTGATGGATTGGGGCTTCGAAATGTTTAGCAAAAATGAAGAGGGCACTTTTTTCCACCCGGAGGAATTTTTTGATTTAGGAAAATTACGTCAAAATCGAGACTTTTCATCAATTTTTATTAGCAAAACGAACAGAAACGGACCCGAAAATGACGATTTTTGGAAAAATTACTCAACATCGGCATGCTAATTGCGAAAACATAGCGAAAAATCGGTACTAGCGTTTCCCAAAAATCAGTTTTTTAGCGATAACTTTTTTGTTTTATAGTATTTTGCTTAGAAAATTCGGCTGCACATAGTTTTTATCGGTCCCCAGCGCTGGTAAAAATTTGGTACCGATGGGATAGAAGACGGCCAAATGCCGAGGGGGGGTTTTTGGGACACCCTGTACAAACTAGCTGGATTGAACAGTTTACCAAACTTTAGCTTGCGTAATTGTTTGCAAAAATCACCGTTAGGAGGTAGCTAGCAGAGATCTTTGGGGGAGTGGCCAGAGGTTTTAAAATGTAGCTACTGATAGCGCTCGTAGAATAACTGGATTAACTGAACTCGTAATCGTTTCCTAAAAACATCTGGACGAGGGAAACGAGCAGAAATCATTTGCCTTGATTTTATTTTTATTTTTCTGCAACGAAAGATTACTTACAAGGGAAGGGCTCGTGGACGAAGTGGAAATTCGGAAAAGCGTCACTGGTTTCAGATAGTGGATCGAGAGGCAGGCTAGCAGCGATCTTTGGGGAGCTGTAAGGTGGAGCTTTGAAAAATTCTTCAAAATCCTGGCTTACGAGTACCTTTAAAGGGTGTAGGACAGCGAGATCGTGTCTACTCATAAAGATATATAAAGTATAGATATTTGCGCGTGATATACCGCCGAAAATGATGCCAATAGGTTAAAAATATGTTGTTTTTTAATAGTTGGCCGCCAGGGAGCACGAGCTGAGTGAGCCCGGCTCCTCCAGGAGTACTTTCCCAGATTTCTTCAAAGCTGACAACCTTGCGAATTATTTTAGACTTTTCAATTGCCAAAATTACTTCTTGACCCCCAACCTCTCCCCTTCCAGGTAGGTAGGCACTCTCCCGGGACCCCGGAATGCGATCCGCATTCCTTCGCCCCCTCTTTAGTTGACTTGCAAGGGCTAACAAAAGCATCGGGTACAAACAGAGGGCCATTCTCGCCTCCCAATCGTCACCACATTCCCAGCCCGAACACCATTTTCTCACCCTCAGCGGGCGGTGGTAGCAGAACAGCCGTGACAATTTCGGGACGCGGGTTCTGTTTGCCACAATCATTCCGCGTGGTGGGGACACTGGTAAATAATCTGTGCCCGAACCACGCTTTCTTTTGGTGCCCAAAAACCACTAGTGGCTTTTGGGGCGCTGCAAAAAATGCCGCTTCTCGCAGTGGGGGTTTGTTTGGTGCGGAAAGTACGGAAACCCGGAGTTTTTTGGAATCAGCGGTTTTTTAAAAAGCCTTTCTAACTATAGGGCTCGAGGGTAAGCTATCAGGGATCTTTCCTTGGGAATGAGCTCCAAGGCTAGCTAACAAAGATTCTTTGGGAATGAGTTCCAAGGCTAGGTAGCAGAGATCCTTTGGGGATCCGGCTGAAGCTCGGGATCGATGAGTGGCATAGCAGAGGTACTTACAATTGTTAGGGATTTAACTGTCAGCTAGCCGATCCTAGAAAGCCAGTTGGAGAAAGGGCTATCTAGCAGAGATTCCTTGGGAAACGAAGCGCCAGCTAGCAAAGATCGTTGGTAATCGGAATCGAGCTACTTTCTGATGTGTAGGCTAGCAGAAATTCTTTAGGGAATTGTCCGGTCGTACGGCGATGATTATGGACTCTAAAACGCTTCCAAATTTCCCGTCGACCCCTTAATTTTTGAGCACAAATCCAAGGTTTTTCATTACATCTATCCCTCCTTGTCCGTTTTTCTTGCACTATCACCCGCCCGAAAAGCACCGGCATTTCCGGTGGGGGCGGCTGACGAGCCAGTTCCTTGTCTCTCTTCTTCTTTCTCTCTCTCTCTCCCTCTCTATCTCTCTCACTCATTTGCCAAATTCTTTGCTCGTTCACTATTTCTGTTTCGCTCTATCACTTTCCCTGCTGTGCCTTGAGCCTAAGAATAATTATCGAGGCGTTTTTGGGGGTGGTGATGAGGAGGTGGACGGGTTATTTTTAGCGGCAGACTGAGCTATTTCTGCTCGCATGGAATGGAGAGAGGTGCAGCCGGCAGCCCGGGGTTGGAATTTGTGGCAGCTCCACTCTCGCCCCTCCATTCCGATCATTTCCATTTCGCCTCGTCCGTTTTCATGGAAATATTGGGATTTGTGAGGAGTGAGGTCTGGGATGGTGAGGGAGGATGAAAGGGTTTTACTTGGAGATTGAGACTTGTGATTCCCTTATGGACACAAAATGAAGGCACAGAGCTACAGTTTTTTTGCGTCGATCGGAGTGTAGCGTAGTTATCAGTATTTTGAACTGGACTACGTTAGGCTACAACCCATGTGACCGGTGGAAAACGAGCGAATGAGAGAGAGAGAGAGAGCGAGATTTGAGTTTTTATGTGGCGTATTCCTCCGTATTCCTTAACCCCTTGCTGGGAAGGCAGCTATTTTATGGATTTTGGGCTCTTGGCGCCCCAACGAGTACCGTAACTTCTGACTAGACTACTTCTTAAATTATCGAAGTCTGGTCGAGATCCTCTACTAGCAAGGATCTGGTTTTTAAAACTCCCTCTTGAAAGGAATGGAGCTTGAGCTATTTTAATCTGATATGGCAA